TTTTTCTTTTTCTTTTTTCTCTTTTTTTTTCCAATTTTTATTTATTTCTTGTCTTCCACGTCAACTGATGTAGAGACGTCTATGTATGTGTTATGTCTGTATGTATGTACTTAGTATTTCCTATTTCCTACTCTGCTAGATATTTCTGTTGTGCAGGATCTTTCAGTCGCAGGCGATTTTCCTGGAATACGATCTATCATCTATCCATGTTGTATACTTATTTATCTATTTCCCTATTAATCTACCACTGGGGCAGTACGTAGTAACGCAATCGATCCGAAAACTTCCTATTTCTAGAGGAAATATGACTGACTAGATTACTGGTTCATTGTTGAATAATCCTTCATTTCAGCCTTTATTTAATCAAGGTCTTAGAAATCCTCCTGTGCAAAACCAACCAAGTTGGGCTGAAGATAAAGCATACATAGCGCTTTGTTCATTTACGGAGTACCATGAGTCCGCTGCTCAATAAGGCAGTGGTCGTGGCTTTTTATATAAAAATAAAGTGGGTAGCGTAGTGTTGTACTGGTTGGCCGCCAACCTAATACCATGAGTGAATATGACATGGACATTTTTATTTCCTGTTGACAAAGAGGAAGAGAGCAGAGTTATTGATTGATTTGTCCTCATATGAGAGATGCAAAGGGCATGACTTACTTATTATAATATATCACACGAGTCTGAAAATTGGGTGGGTAATATTTCCTATTTCTAACAAACTTGATTGAGACCTCGACTGGCTGATTCGAGTATTGTAATATACATAATAATCCAGGTTGTTTCTTTTTTAATTTATTCTTCTAAATTTATTCTTAATTTATTACACTTTTTTTTTGCAAGTTAATTAACGCAGCTGCGGCAAGTTTGAACTGTTTTGTATTCATCCTGAGAATTTAAATGCCTGATACTGACAATAATGCCTGTATGTACAGTACATATGGTAGTTTGACGCCAGCAGTGAGGAATTCAGGTAGCACTATATATATTAATACTGATGCTACTTACAAAGGCTATCTATGTAAAAAAGGAATATGTACGGTTTTGCAGAGCTGTGATCTGGTGCAGCACTACCAATTCATTTATGCAATCCTCTCAACGTTTGTCATATTCTTACTATTTCTTCCGGATATTGCCCAGTCTAGACTTCTTTTTCAGCAACAAGCTGGCTGCAGAAATTACGCATTAATGGGAAAATTGGCGGCTATGGAAAATCTACTTATCTAGAAAGGTGCATCCTCAAATAGTAGGGTTGTCAGCCGAGTCACTATAATGGATATTAACAATTTGGATAAGTTCCCACAACAGGAGGGTCATCTTACCAGCAACACGAAACCATTTGTGATATTGGTTATGGAATATGCTCCCGGCTGACCATTTATTTCTTCTGCGAGAGTATGATTCTTGAATCAGTGCTCTGGCTGTTGTCCTCTGATTTGTCCACTCCATATCACCGTTAACTCATCCGAGAATACCGGACTCTCGCTTTTGAAGCTCGTCGATTGCAGTGACATTGAAGCCATCTTGTAGTGGTGACGTTAAGTCTGATATCACCTCCAGGCAAGTCCACGAGCGTCTGGGACTGCAATGACTCCGGGTTTTATCGCCCGCTTTGCAATAATTCTTCCCACCATTCGTCCTGTTCCCTTTAAGATGGTAGACCTTTTTTTTTTCTTTAAAGAGCATGACAGAAATACCATGAGCCACCTTCGCGCGTTACGGGGCCATTTGGACGATCTTTGAAAGTCGTTTGCCAAGTGACTTTTTTTTTGATTCTGCTGAAGCTTTTTCCGTCCGATTATGCATGGGAAGGATTCGCTCCTAGCATACTAGGATCGCGTATGGAGAATCGTGTCCGACATATCCCTCACACGACATTAACCCTAAGTCAGGACCAACAAGGTTGTCACTCCTCCACTTGCAACGAGGTCAATCGCCATGTCATTACTTTGTAGCCAGAGCCCACCGAGTCACCGTTGTTGAGAATTCTTCAGGATTTTCTTGATGCTCCAGAGAGACATCCCCTTATCTTCCCATCTCTCTCATCAAGGATTGTCGCATCGCGCCGTGTCACAAGCGCTCAAGGGCATCCTGCTAGTAGATATTATACGCAAGTCGTCTTGAAGCAAGCTCGTAGTCGACGTCTGGTGGCATTTCAGAAAGATCTTGTCGATTGTATATTTTGATCTCCGCTGCCGATAATATAATTTTGACAGACCAGTTGTATGTAGATCGATAGGGCATTTGAGAAGTAAAAGAAGAAGAAGAAAATTTACCAGCGTCATGTATTTATATACATACATACAGAATTGCAATAATGCTGACAAGAATTAATATTAATATTAGGTCCCATTTTTGTTTCTGCCCTAGGCTGTAGGCGCGCATTACCCAATATGGCAATTTCGTTGACAACTCCACATCGTCCTACTCCTTATTATATACTTAAGCGGCCTGACGTGATGGAGTGCTTGGATCTATCTATCTTTGCCTTGGAGGAAAAAAAAAATTAATGGTATACTTAGTGTACATTATCACTGTCATTAATACTGTGTTCGAACCTTGTTCCCAGCTGATCCTGGACGGAATATTAAGCTATTCATTATATATTACTTAGTTCCGGCTGTCTGTCATAGCGCATCTGAAAATAAGCACTGCTAACTTGTTGGCCAATTACTGCACCTCCAAAAGCAGTGTTGAAGATATGATTGTGTCATTCTGATCTAGAAAAAGCAAGCAGCACCCTGGTAGATTCTTCTCTTCTCTCGATAGGAATCTACTAGAGACTGTGCATGTAATGTATCTACATACATAGATAGTATTTACATTCCGTCAAGGTGCGTACAATGCGAGGATTCTCAATTGTCGATTGTGTGAATCCAGAGATTGCTATTTTGTGACTGCTGCCATAATACGCAGTTACTATCTATCTATGTATGTATGCAGTGGTAAAATTGAAGTGTTGGGGGAAACCTTTTTCTCGTCTCTCGCCTTTGCATTCATATTTTCATTCATCATTCGATACTTGGAATTCGAATTAATCACTGTAATTGTGACTGCTTTGCAACGATATCTCTGCGGTCGATAGTTTGTCCGCTCCGGAGGGGGTTCTGCATACAGATGTCAGCCTTGTTAAGTGCAAGGCTGTGCCTGATAGACCGTAGATAGATAGCCTTGCCCTCACCTTGTTCTATCTGTTCTGGTCTGTTCTGTTCAGAAAGCGCAGGCACTACCCATATATACGTCTCTCCAGAACTAACTCCCTCCTCTACTAATAATCTACTACAATCTATCGGCTAAACAATTCAATGCGACTCCGGTCGACGGTCAGAAATCCTATCATGTCATCCTCCCCCATCATCGCCGTGGTAGGCGGCCTGAACATGGACACGGTCTTCGAAACGGAGCGCATGCCGGACTTGGGCGAGTCCATGGACGCCATTTCCCTCGCCAATTACCCCGGAGGCAAAGGCGCCAACACGGCCATCGCGACGTATCGCGCCAGTCACAACAAGCCGACTGGGAATGGTGCTGTCCAAGCTCGCGAGAACGGGGAGATCCGCGTGTTCATGAACGGGGCCGTGGGAGACGACGACTTTGGCGTCGAGCTGCGCACAAAACTCGAGGAGAACGGCATCGATGTGTCCGGCGTGCGCACTTTGGCGGGCGAGAAGAGTGGCACCTGCGCCGTCATTGTCGACGTGGACTCTGGGGAGAGCCGCAACATCGCGTACCAGGGCGCGAACTTGAGGTGGACGCCCCGTGAGCCAGACTCGGTCGAGTGTCTCGCTGGCGGCGCGAAGCCCGATCTTGTCGTCACCCACCTGGGCGTCCGGCGGGAGCCAGTCGAGCAGGTGCTGGAGACGGCGAGCAAGAATGGCGTCGACACCATCTTGAACCCGTCGCCGGCTGTGTACCTGGTCAGCTCGACGTATCAAAATGTCACGCACCTGCTCATGAACGAGACCGAGTCTGCAATGCTGTCCGGTCGGCCAATCAAAGTGTTTGACAATCCCGACGTCTGGAAAGCGGCCGCGCAACATTTTATCTCTCTGGGCGTCAAGAATGTGGTCATCACATTGGCAGCCAAGGGAGCTTATTATGCCACGTATACAGGAGACACAGGGCTTGTGGATGCGGAGAAAAGTGTCAAAGTTGTGGATACAACGGGAGCAGGGTACGTCCAGCTTCTTGCCAATTTCCTGTGCTGTCTGAAGGCTAATGCATGCATCCACTACAGAGACACTTTCGTTGGCACGTACGCAGTGGAGTATATCCGACAAAAGCAGCGAGGAGAAGAGTGGGATATCAGAAAGGCCATCGCACGCGCATGTAAAGCGTCAGCTCGCACGATTGAGCGGCTGGGGGCTCAGGAGTCGATCCCGTGGGCGGATGAGATAGACCGGAAGTAGATTGTGGAAGTAGACGTCACGTATCAATGGTTATGAGTATGAATGCACGATATCATTATTAATAACACTGAAAAATAATATTTTCCACATTTTGAACCAGTTCCGCATTGCTTTACAGCAGAAATGAGACATGAGACCTCGTGAGTTCGTCAGACGGGCAAAAGTGAAATCGTCATAACGCGTAATCAACACATATAATCCAGAAATGGGAAAGATATTAAAAATGAATTCAAAACAGTCGCGATTCAAAAATGAAATTGGCAGAAAAATGCCTCTCGTTGGTTGCTGCTCATCAGGAAATCCACCCCTTTCTGGGCCGTAGGTCTGGCGTCAGGATTACTTTTGATCATGAGCATAATCTGCCATACCAGGGTTTCACATAAAAAGTCATCACTATCCTTCTTCAACTGATTGAGCCATTCTTGCACATTGGGTAGGTTCTCCCGGAAGGCCAGCGCGCCGCATTCATTCTCAGGAGCTCGACGGAAGTTTTGGAAATCGTCCAACGACCGCCCGCAGCAGACCGTAAGCATTTCCGAGAAGACACAGCCGAGTGAAAAGACGTCTGCTTGGCGACCCCGGGGATTGTCGGGTCTGACTTCAGGAGCACGGTACACGGGGGTGCCACACACAAAGAAATTGGAGGTCTTGCTGGTGCCGTACTGAGTGAAGTCTTTTGCCAGCCCAAAGTCGGCCAGGTAGACCTGGTTCTCTTTGATCAGGATATTGGATGGCTTGATATCCCGGTGCGTGACGTGGAGCCGGTGAGCGAACGAGAGTGCATCCAGTAGACACCCGAACCAGGGAAGGATATTCTGCAATGCACCAGCGGGGTTTCTGTCGCGTGTGCAGTTCTCCAGGTACACTCGAAGGTCACAGTCCCCTACGGGGTTCATAAAGATACTGCAGGCCCCTTGGTCCTTGAGCCAGAAGAGCACTGTCGCGATATGCTGGTGGGTCAATCTCTGCATCACACGGACTTCATTTCGAACTTCCTCCACGCGCGTGGCGGCAGCCACGTCGTCACCCGGCAGTTGGATGATTTTCCGAGCGTACACCGCTCCTGTCGAGACCTCTTGCACCTCATCGACGTCGCCGAAAGAGCCCCTTCCCAGCCTCCTCTGGGGAATGAAACGCGCCTGAGTGTCGTAGGGATGTTGATGTCTAATATCCCACCGGTGGTTCGGAAAGCTCCTTGAAAAGTTTGACCCTCTGGCCTCCTTCCGCTCGGCCAGCTCTAGCATTTCTTCGAATTTCGCCCTTCCCATTGCGAATGTCTCCGCGGATTTTTGGATCTTTGCCTGGATGCTTTGGAGGGGGTCAAAGTTGTCTGCTAGAGATAGCCTGTCAGCAACCATGCAAGACGGGACTCGCACAATCCCACTTACATGGAGGAGTGTGGTCGAGGTTGAAGGACGTCAGGATGCACAGCAGTGAGTCCATGTATGCGTCAAAGATGTCTTGTAAGGGAGCCTGCACGTCTGGATCATGGGGGAACAGGGGAATGTCAGCACCGAGGGAAGGGACAGCGCTGTTTAGCTGGCCCAGCAGCTCAACAATGCGGACTGGCGGTACACCAGCTTCACAAGCGCACTGCAATGGGCGTCAGTTGTCCAGCAACCTCTCATTTGAAGAGGAGCAGCGACTGCTTACCTTGATGGCCACAAAACAACCGCCTGAGACGAGGCCCGCCAGGTTGCTGGGCGGGACGTGTTCCAAGGCTCCGTCCACTGCGCAGGCAAACGCGTTGATAGATCCATAGTGGAGCTGGACCAGCAATCGCGTGTAGTATCTCTCCTTGCACGACCTGCAAAGGGCCTCGAAGTGGTTGCGGAAGGACTCTTCGTTGGCGATGGCGGGCGGCAGCTGCCATCCTTGTCTGCTGAAGGCGGCCTTCTTCTCGTCGAGCAGACGGCGCCACGTTCTCCCCGTCGACGCAGCCATCAACAACAGGTGCAGAGTCACGTACGGCCAAGAGGCATGAGGTGCTGCAAGCAGTCGAAGGAGAGAAGTTCGGAAACACGGAGGTTGTGAGGTTGGGACGACTGCCAGCCTCGCCAGGGCTGCTGATATCCCCTCCTCTCTTCAGCCTGATGTAGTCACGCCAACCATAGCCTCCCCGCCTGAGGAGTCTCTGGGCTGGATCAGTCCAGCGATAGATGATGGCGCAGAGTACGAATCTACAGAGCCACCGCTGCAAGACTCGACTGCTTTGCACGGCGTGCTGTCGAGAACCGATCTGCACGTGAGACTTCTTCTACATGCTCCCATCTCCTACGTGTTCAGACTGCGTTGAAGGGAAGCATTCATCTTAACCAGACATTGAGTTTTAATTAAAGAATTAGGACCCCTGTTCCCCCGGCCTGGCCAGTCGATAACGCCCAGAGCGCCTGTGCACTTTGCGACCGTGTGCTACAACTCGCCTGATTTCAGCACAGGGCACGAGAAATGACAAACTCTCCGTTCATGGGGATGGGAGAATCATGCTTCAAGTTCTTGCAGATAAGAATTGGATGACCGCTGTTGTTCGCTACAAATACTAACTGAGCTTAAAACACAGTGCCATCGCTCTTGAGCAGAATCGGACTCGACTTCGTCTCTGGTCGACGCTGTGCCGCGATCTCTCTTCCAGACTTCCAGGTTCCAGCCTCCAGGAACTGCGCTACGGTCAAGTGAACGCCTTCCATCCGAGATAAGACCTTCTCGTAGACGATGTCGAGCAGCACCACCGTCATAGCACGCCATTCTACGATTACATCGTCCCCAGCGTCAAAGAGCGGTAACTTCTGGCCCGATGCTTTCAGGCCTCGCTCGAGCGCCTCTTGCTTCAGCGTCAGAGCCTCCAGATCAACGAAGAGGCCTCCGTTGCGATACTCAGCCAAGGCCGTCAATGATTCAGCATTGGCCCATTTCATGCCAAGGATCCTCACGAATGGGACCATCAATGAATACGTGAGCCATTGGGTCAGCTTGTGGAATGGTTGAATGCCGGCTGTGCTGTCATCGGACTTGGCTTGTCTCTGTAAAGTACTCAACGGCCATGCGTCCCCGATCGGCTGTCCCCCGATGGTCGTCCGATCCTTGGGCCAGATAGGAATGAGAAGACTCTGGAGGACGTCCCAGAGAACGTGAACGTCGATCGTGGAGTCATTGGCAGTTTTCATCATGTAGTCTGTGGTTCCTCTGAGCAAGCGATCCAGCATAGAGGAAAGACTTCTTACCGACAAGGTTGCCCGGGCGGCCTTCAGCGCCGAAGATGTCGGAGTGAGCCAGTAAGGACTGTCCCAGACTTCTGAGAAGGGCAGCACGAGACTCAACTCCGAGCATTGGGTTTTTGTCCGACACCTGGAATCCCTCCGCGAGCTCCTCCGTCGTCAGGCTCTCCAGACCCTTTCCTGGGTGTGCGTTAGCGTAGTACAAGTTTAAACTTCTGGTAAGCTTTACCATCCACTAATGGGATTCCCGCAGATTTTGATGCTGTGAAGGCCAGAGACTTGAACATGTACAGGCTAGCGACAGCAATGCCTTCGCTCCGTTCATATTTCCGCTCAGTTTGAGGCTCGACATAGGCCCAGGAATCACCTGCCCCGGCATCCAAGAGCACGGACACGAAGAACAAATCAATCAGACGGCGAGTGAGCTCCAAGTTATCGCAGCCTGCCTTCTTCCAATCGTCCAGCATATCGGAAACGCGGGGAACATTGCCCACCTCGAAATGCTGCCAACGGCCATGAGGGGGGATGGTGTCGTACTTGTCTGGGCCGAAATCACGCTGTTGAAGTTGTTTAGCCCCGTTATATATATATCAATCAGTCAACGGATTCGAGATCACACGCCTTGATGACAGAAGTCACATAATCCGCGACATCATCCAGTCGGTGTTCATGGACGTCAAAATGAGTCAACTTCCCCGCCTTGGCCGCCTCCCCCACGATCTTGGCCCGTTCTCGAACCGCGCGCAGCGACAGCAAGTATTTAACTTGAGCATCCATGGCCACGAAGATACAAGGTCACAGCTTTGTTGCTGTACAGCGTTCTGGAGTACTTCAGATCAGCCCAGCGACAGAAACGAAGCGGAATAGATGCATTAGCCGAACACATGGCTCTCCAGAGATCTTAAGCGGCTCAAACCAGCCTTCCGGCGCAAAGACAAACACATGGCGTCTGCCTATAGGTGGCCTTGTTCAGGGCTGCCCCGCGGCTTCTGTTTGTACGGAGTCCTCCGGCTGTATACAAGCGCCGGAGTACCAGATACTTCGAAATTTGCAGAGCAGTACTATGTCTACCAGAAATTTCGATTACATTCAGGGCACAGCTCGTACTTAAAAAAGAAAAGAAAAGAAAACGCCAGGCTGATTCGCGCAGCAGAAAGCAGGAACCTCCTTAAGTCCAGGCACATACAATGTCAAAAACAGTATCATATCCGTCACGTGAGACTACAAGTCCTATTCACTGAATCTTTCGCTTCAGCGACGGGTGATCTCTCCCTCCCCTTCTCTTTCCCGCTTCCTGTCTGGTTCTGGTTCTTGCGCAGGATAAAATCTGTTGAGCGATTTGAGCGGCATGACGACCTTTTGCTTGAACAGAAGGTTGGTGGGCGCCTGCTCACCCAGCCCTGTGAGACATTGTTTCACAATATTCGCATATCGCGAACCCATCGAAAACGAGAGTGTCGGGAGCTTGTGTTTGATCAAGGACGCCGAGAACACATGATTATCTTCGTTCTTGTACTCGTCCATCACGGCGTCAATGGTGTCCCAAAAGCCAATCTCAACGAGCAAAATCCCGAGACTGTAGTAGTCGAACTGAGGGCGAAATCGCGTAAACTGATGGTTTTCGACGCAGATATACCGTGGATCGTGGTATCGATGATGCTTTCTATCCTGCAACGGTCCCTCCGTGAAGTCGTCAATGGCACTCCGACTGTGCTGGAAGCCGAGCAGGTATGGGCGACTCGCTCTGGCCGACGGACTAGTTTGATGCGTCGGGAAGAACAAAACACTGAAAGACGTAAGGTCCTTGTGGAACCAGTTCACGTCGTGAAAAGCTGCAAGCGACTCCGCCAACTCGAATCCCAGTTTGAGTCTGCTTTCCCAAGAAGGGAATTTACTTGGCTCTCGCTCTGTTAACAACTGGCGAAGGGATAGAGGGCTCAGTCCAGACAGCCCTCCTTTGTGTTCGTTCGGAAAGTCATAGACCATCTCAAAGCAAAAGGCGTCGACATTATCCTTTAGCCCGTGGAACGGCGGTATGCAGAGCTGTTGTCGCAAATGATCGGTCGTCAGGAGATCACAAAGGGCATAAATGCGTGGTAAGAGCCTCTGCCGTCTGAGCTGATCCTGATATTGGATGGTTTCGACAATCGCCCATTTGCCCTGGCCATGCTGATCACGGCGGATTTTGGCGATTTTGTATTGCCCAATCTGTCGTGTGTAGGCGATTGGCCCCGATATGATTTTGAAAGATGGCTTCGTCAAGGGCGTTGTCGCACCCTCTACTTGAGCAACCAAGTGCTTCGTGTCCGCTATTTGAGTAAGCCGAGAATCACCAAATGCCGATCTCAACGTTTGATAGACAGCACTCCCCGGTTCCATGTTTGCCAGCAGGATAGACTCCAGTCGAGACCGGGCGCTGGACCTCCGTTCCGGTGAAAGCATGTTGAGCAGCTGCGTGTTTAACGTGCGCACTTCGAGAAAGGATCGACAGTCCAGATCCGATGCATTTTCGTCTATGCTCTCCAGTGCGTGCTTCATTTGGCGGAGAATCTCGATTGTAGAGTCAAAGATCTTTGCGGTGGTGGTGGCGCCTGATGAGCTCGAGTACAGTTCAGAGTCCTGAGACCACGCCCAACTTTGGAACCGTGCTTCTTCAATGAACGCATCAGGGAAGGAGGAGGTAAACTGAGCAAAAAGAACCGTGAACTGTTCCGCAAAGGCTTTGATGATACTGAGGTATAGCGTCGCAGTGACTGCTGCGGCCGCAGGTCGCTTATTGGGAAGAATTTCCAGCATACTGCTGACTAGCTGGACAACGTCCCGCATACTTTGGCTCCCATCCTCATCAGCAACCTTCTTGAGCGAAGCGGCCACAGCCTCATTGGACGATTCGCCCTTGTGGTACAAATAGTAACACATGGGAGGCATGTGGAACTCGCGATTGTGATTAAACTTTTCGACCCCGGCGGGACCTTTGACCAGATAAATGAGGATATCGGCGATGATGCAGCCAAGGGAGAAAATGTCAGTCGCGCGCGTCGTTTCGTGTTCTTGGTACGGATGTCCGAGGTCGGCGCATTCAGGAGCCTGGCAATAGCCTCTACGACCTTTGAATGGAGTCTTGGAGACTTCCTCCATGGATTTGATGCTTGACAGTCCAAAATCTGCGAGAATGAACCGATCCCCATCGACCAAGATATTGTCTGGCCGAAGGTCTTGGTGATGCCCTTTGTGAGAAGGCTCGGTATCTTCGAGCGCAAATTCGTGCAATGCCCAGGTCGCAGAAGCAAGACCAGCTACAGAACAAAACATTTCTTCGCGGGTCAGGTTTGGGGGCTTTTCCTGCTTCAGGAACTTTCGGAGAGTTCCGTCCGGAATATAGGGGAAGATCAAATTGTGTTTGGAGTTGTAAGTGTAACAGCCAACGAGCTTTAATATGTTCGGGTGCTGGAGACGCTGAAGCGTTGAGAGCACACGGACTTCATTCTCGTACGTGCTGTCATCAAGCTCGAGCTCTTTTCTGACAAACTGTCCACCGTCAGCAACGAGGGTTTTCCATGTCATGTGGACAGTACACTCACCACCGTGGTAGTCTCGAAATTTTGCGGCCGGTGCGAAGGGTGAATCTCAACCTTGTGCACCGATCCATAACCACCTGCAGACAAAAAGCTGTCGGCGAGGTAGGGCAAGATTGTCTGACGTTCAAATGCCCGTGGTATGATTCGGCCCGAAAACACGGGGACACAGAATTCCCACTGCTTCTCGTGGAACAATTCGGCAATGTAGTTGTCGTTGAGAATCTCCTGCAGCACAGGCTTGGCAAGAGGAAGCAGGTCGTCAACAGGGCGCGCTTGCAACTGATCCTTGCGGATGAAATGCTCGAGATAGCCAACATAGCCGATCAAGACGAGGACCCCAAACACCTTCTGCGCACCGTTGATGATGAAATCAACCACTTCTTCGCTATGGTCAAATGGAGTGAAATCTACCACAACCTTTGCGATCACATCCCTTGTCATCACATCGTAAAGCTCCCTCTCTGGGACAAATCTTTTGCTGTCCGCGTTCTCGACTCGAATCTCGTTGATGCGGCGCTGAAGGCGCTGGAGATTGGACGAGATATTCATTGTCTAGGATAGGTCGCCTTGGACTGTCAGTGGTGTCATTGCCGGGATGTGCCACAAATTTTATGCTTCACGTACATTTGACGGTACTGGCTTTGCCACTTCAGACGCGAAAAAAAAGTCGTCGTTGCTGTCTATCTCCTCTTGGAGATGGACTCAATCTCCTTCTGTAGGCATTTAGCAGGACACTCTTGCGAAGAATGTCAAGTATGCGGCCAACGCACCTCAGTGAGCTCGCGTGAGATATTTGATACTACCCAGGCGTCACTATGCTCCTGCGATGGATTAGTTGCATCCCTGATTTCGATGGAGTGTCTTACCGTAACAATGTACTGTCCAGGGAACAGCCTGTCCAGTAATGCTATCAAGTCGGAGCGAGCAACGTATCTGTTAGGGACTCGACAGGTAGCCATAACTCGGCTCAGTGCAAGAGATCGGGGCTGTGATATATTGTGCACGAGACGAGAGTGCAGGAGCAATGAGGCAGGAAAGGCTTTGAGGGAAGGAAGAACAGCCGCGGCAGAGCAGCCACGTAAGCCTAGCATGGCGTTCAGCCTTGTGCAGGGATCTGTGACCGGGGGAGTCGTTATGAAGATCGATTGGTTGCAGGGCACAAGGCATACTGATGAGCAGATATAGCTCAGCCTCATTGCAACCGAGAGATTCAACTGCCGTCATGATGTCGAGATCTACCTATGAAAAGAAGCAGGACTTGAAGCAAAAGAACTGCTCCAGAGTGAAACGAAAAACGTTTTCACAGTAATCACTTCCTTCAACCCATGGCTCATAGCACGTCGCGCGGGTTTCATCGAGGCATCCATGACCGTTTCCAGGCAGTCAGCGGCAAGCTCTTCGCCCGCGAGGTCATTGATGCGCTCGCTCTTTCGCTGCACCGTCAAGATAGCATAGACGAACCCCGTGTCTCGGTGAAATCGATTGTCAGCGTCACAGATCTTGAGGATCACCTCAATGAGACCGGCACATGTGTATCATCCGACACGATACTGTGAGTGGCAGCAGCCAGCGGTTTCATCGTGCACACCTGCTGATAGTGTGGACAGTCTCATCCCGCAAGAATACTCCTGGGGCCGGTTTTGCATCACCGATGCAGCGTTCCAGGTGCTCATCAAATCTGCAGCGGTGTTCGACGAGTTCCTGGACGTTGTGGCAGCCTACGGTGTGAAAAGCAGTGAAGACGAACGAGTCTTCTACGGCTGGCGTTCTTGTGCGGTTCGAAAGCAGTGTCTGAAAGAACGACATGGTAAGGATGCGATATCTATCCATCAGATACGCGACTGAACCCGCTAGAAATCTGCTACAACATTCCCCACGTCGACAGACACGGCCGGAATCTGCGTGACCCGTGGTCGCTGAGACAGACAGGCGTGTACCAGCAACTGCGCAACGGTCTGCGAACGTCGCGTTGGATACTGCTGAACCTGACAGATCACGCGAAGCTACACCTCAAGGATATCGTTGAGTCGCGGCTCGATTGCTGTCACTTGGCCTTACACGCGGAGCTCCTCTTGACGCTGGGCGCCAATTGGGCAGAATACATTGAATATCTGAGTTCGGAGCTGAGGAAGCATGTGAGTGATGATGTTGCACAAGTAGTACGCCGCATTTGTGGTGACGATTGCAGAATGACAAGGCGTGCTACTCTCCTGTTGATCGAATGAACGATCATGGCTACAGCGTCTCGTACGTCGATCTGCAGGATTTGCATATGTTGCAGACCAAGATTCAGCGCGCCGAAGCGGCTCTAGAGTCTTGCCTCGATATTGCTCAGGGGTGTCAGAGTCACTTTGTCGTGCACCTGGAACTCAACAGATTGACCTTGGACTGCATTAAATGCAGCAACCTGCTTGACGTCTATTGTCTGGACATGACACGCCATCTCAATAGCCTTCGAAGGCTAGACCGTCGTCTGGAGAACATTCTGAACCTGGTGAGTGAGATCTGAGCCCATCGACATGGTCCTCACAGTCTAATCTCCGTTCTCAGCTCTCGAAGATCCTGATGTTTCGAAACGAGGAACTTCTGCAAGCGTCGAACAGAGCATCTAGTCAGACGCTCGCCACGCTTCTCCACATCACCGATCAAGGAAACGGCCAGCAGGAAACCCTCACCAAGCTTCTCGGTACAGGACAGGCTGATTCAGCCTTGCTCAAGGCCCTATCGATTGTTGCGACAGTCTGTCTGCCGGCATCCTTAGTTGCAGTGAGTCTGCAAACATATGGGACAGGCAGCCCGCGCTAATTAATTGATCACTGGCAGACGATCTTCTCCTCCAATCTCATCCAATCTATTGGGCCGTCATCTGCGCAGGAGGAGGAAGCCACGCGTCTCGTCCTGTCTCCCCAGTTTTGGATCTATGTCGCGATTTCGTTGCCGCTGATGGGCCTCACGTTGATGTGGACACTTTACTTGGATCGAAAGTCTCGTCAGTCCGCTAGTAGTCTGATAATGGCGTCGGAGAATCCGTAAATTTGACAGCACGTAGGTTTCTCTGAAATAATCGGACTACTCCTTATGTCTCTTGGGCATTTTTGATTTTTGATTGATTGATTAACTCTCCGTGCAGCCTTTTGTCTGACCTGCTATTTTGCCTATCTCTGAGACGATGTGCCTGTTTGTGTGTTTGATAATGAGTGCTGTGCATATGTACAGTATTCACACCTAGTCATAGTGCATCTATCTAAATAATGTATGTTATCATGTTCGGATGGAGATGGGATGCTTCATACTTCGGACATGGTGACATACTTAAGTTAGAGATGAAACTCTTGCTGGCCATCATAAAGAATACTTCGTACAAAGATCGTAGAGGTTCCATCCCCAGGAAACGTTCATTGCCAGTGAATATTTTTCATAAACTGTCCTACCGCATCCGTCTTGGTAACTCCTACAGGCTGGCATTCCTCGGGATCTTGTCGACTGCTGGGATAAGCTGTGCTACTTGATTGCTGATAGCTACCAAGTCCATCGACTCATCGAACAGCTTATAGGGGAGTAACTAGGCGTATAGCAAAGTCTATCTCTAGGGGAGTCAATAAAATAGCTAAATCATAAGAAAAGCTGCACAAAAAGGCCGCTATTGACAGCGACACCTCCTAAGCTGCACTAATGTAGCTTCCTGCAGACGGTGAGCATAGAGGACCAATCAACACACAAATAAAAGCGAAGTGTTATTTGCAACAAAACGTACAGAGTACATTATTTAAATAAAATGGAATTTAGATACGATGTACCTCCTTAGAAGGTTTACCATAGTAACATAGCATACCTTGAAGGACGGCAGAAACGCGAGATAATCTCCCTCCATCCAGCTGTAGTCACGTACCCTGCAGGAAAGATGGTGTTATTACACACCTTGACCAGCATCCAACAGCAGGGCCAGTACTAGATCAGCCCAATGTGGAATAACATGTCCTATTGGTCTCCTGATGAACTATCTCGAGCAATGACCTGCCAAATCACGAGGACCAAGCTGCAAGTTTCCGCTCAGCCTTTTTATGATAAATACATACTCAAGGTGGGGTCCTCTTCAATCTCGCTTGCATCTCGACCATGTCATCTGAAAAGTTCTTCAATAGTACATATACCCATAGGACAGTGACGATTGTTGCTCCCCTGGACTTTTCTTTTCCAAACACAGGGCCATCCCCATGGTACGGCACCATGATCTTTCCAAGCTTTTTCCCTTGACGTCTGTCGCCAGACTCTAGCGGAGAGATGACGTGAACCAGATTCCAAGCATTTGCTATGATACGTGCAGTATGCTTCCCACCCTTGAAGAAGAGTCTGTCCTTCTCTTGGGAGAACACTACGTCTGACAATCTCCCATAATAGAAGACGCCGCCCTGCAAGCCGAACAGGAAGGTCGAACTCCGGGACTCTGCAGTCCAGGCTCTGCGTTCTTGACCGAATCAATAGAATGCTCAGATTGCATCGGATCCAACAGCGCTAACTCGACCGCGTCCATGAATTTCACCCTGCCGCTGTTCCAGGAATTTATAGAGTACTGCGCCAAGCTCTCCGGTGTCAATAGCAGTACAAAGTTCATGTCTATCAATTCGATTCTGGCCCAGGAATCGGCGCTGGCTGCCTCTCAGACGTCTTTGAGTGAACAACTGTCGTCTCTTTGATACCATGCGGTGACAACAACTGCTGCTGCAACAAGTGCTGCTGCAACAACTGCAGCAAGCGTGGTCACTGTATACAAAACAGCTGCATCTTCTCCATCTCCATCTCCATCTCCATCTCCGGTACCAAACACCCAGTCAAATGCGCGCATCGTCGCTCCTGCTGTGGCCGTCCCCGTCACTGTCGTTACTTTAGTTATCCTCGCAATCACCATTACAATTCGCCGCCGTAAAAGAAGAAAAACGAAGAGCGCAGCAGCAGTCGAGCCTCCGTTGAAGCCAGAACTCCACGCCGACGACTTCGGGCCTGAACTTGATGCCACGACTGCGCCAAGCGCAAAAGGTGCTGCGATATTACCATTCTCGGATCATCAAGGGCCACCGGATATTGCAGAATTGCCTGCGAGAGAGATACCGGCTAGCGAGATGGATGCGGGACCGCAACAGATACATTCAACTTGACTGGCGACAGATGAGATGTATATATACCTACAGGGCATTATTTCACTTAGTTCTTTTCCTCGCGTGGGATTGTATATATCAACTTGCGATCGGTAGTTGGGAAACGCTAGACAGCATATATCCAGGATGGGAAATTTTTTTTAACTTCTTTCCTTTTCTTTTTAAAAAAAATCCCTATTGTCTTGACGTCAGAAATGAGTTTGTTTTATATTATTTTTTTATTTTTATTTTTATTTTTATTTTTATTTTTATTTTTATTTTTATTTTTATTTTTATTTTTATTTTTATTTTTATTTTTATTTTTATTTTTATTTTTATTTTTATTTTTATTTTTATTTTTATTTTTATTTTTATTTTTTATTTTTATTTTTTATTTTTATTTTTTATTTTTTATTTATTTTATTTTTTATTTTTATTTTTATTTTTATTTTTATTTTTATTTTTATTTTTATTTTTATTTTTATTTTTATTTTTTATTTTTTATTTTTTATTTTTTATTTTTTATTTTTTATTTTTATTTTTATTTTTATTTTTTATTTTTTATTTTTTATTTTTTATTTTTATTTTTATTTTTTATTTTTCGCTGGTCCCTCGTCAAGACTTTCATCCGTAATCCCATAAATAACCTGACTTGCCCATACTCAAAGGTAAGGGTTACAGAATTTCTTGATTGAAGGAATGGGTACCTATCTAATTCTTGTATTATTTATTTGTTAAAAAAAAACATTATATACAGTTTGTATGACCCAATTGACTCTATAAAATGACGGTAATACATATCAACAAACTGGCCCCTACAGCGATGAATGCAACATGGCAGACATGCTATATCGTCTCTCGTACATAGCTGATTATCTCTTTCCAATCAAAGTTTCGTGCCTGTCGATCACCGTCCACTAGCGCTGTCAACGGCCACATTGAAGTTGCAATTTACGGCCGGCCCCCAGAAGTATGCGGGAGGATCGTACGGCGTACACAGAGGTTACTTAGCTGCGTACAAAGTACATACCTAAGGGAAGGTATAAAAAGGAGGTCAGCTTCGTAGATTTTTGCTCTGTCCGCGCAGTCTTCTCTAGAATAGTAATTGATTCAATATGAAGTTCACTCCCTCTTCTTGCTGGATGCAGTCTGCTCGTGTCCGCGGCGCCTGTTGTCTCTCAGGGCGTCAACGACACGGCGAATGGCATGCTCGATGTCATTCACGGAAACGCAGACTGCAAAGCGGTTGCTGTCATCTTTGCGCGAGGGACGTTTGATTCGGGGTCTGTTGTCCAAATAATCAAATTCCAGAACAATGTGTCCAACTGACAAGTATGCAAATTGCCAGCAACATCGGCGTCTGGGTCGGACCGCAGTTCTTCAGTGCCCTTTCGAGCAAGATTTCCTCTGTAGCTCTTCAAAGCGTCGATCCGTCTGCTTACAAGGCTGATCTTGAGGGGTATTTGGCTGAATGGGGCAGCAATGACGGCGCCAAGTCGCTTGCAGAGACGGTCGATGCGTATGTCGCCAAATGCCCGGAGTCGGCGGTCGTGGTGTCGGGGTGGAGGTAAGTAATGTCCACACATGTACTTCCATGTTAGAAAGGACACTCACACCCTATAGCCAGGGCGCTCTCGTCGTGCACAAAGCCCTCGAACAGCTCTCGTCCTCAGCCCTAAAACAAGTCGCCGGCGTCGTCACCTTCGGCGACCCGAACCACCTCTGGGACAACATCTCGCTACCGGCGAGCATCAAGAGCTTCACCTCGCCCTGCGTGACAGGGACCATCTTCGACCCGCTGTGCGCACAGCTGCCGCGCGATTTCAAAATGCCGACGTCCCTGTCAGACATCGTGAGCCCCTTCAAGAAGCTGCCCAGCGTGGCCGTCGGCGAGCAGCAGGCAGAGGCCGCCGCGAGCTTGGTCAAGCAGTTCCCGGGACAGCTGGCGGCCAGCTGGGACGCGTTTGTGCACCGTTTGTACGGCTGCTCCTGACGCCGCAGCATTTTACGTATGGAAATAATGGCATGGCGGCGCAGGCGGCGGAGTTTGTGGCCGGTATTCCGCGGGTCAAGGATGCAGGGAGACATTCCTGAGTACTGAGGAGTTCTGAATTGTGGCTTTTTTCTGGAGAACATTTACTGGTTTGGTATCTACATTATTGTGCTACATTGAGAGTTTATATAATTGCCTTTTTATAATAAATATTCACAGTGCATCATCTCTCTCCGACCAGTCCGAAGGATATCCGCGGGAGACAATATCAGGGTAAGACGACCGTAGAAATATTGCCTTGAGAAGACAATCCTTTCGAACCGTATAGATACTGTATCTGTGCTTATTATCCAACATCTTCAGCAGCAGCAACTGATATGATGTTCATGTTTAATCTGTTCGGAACTCCGAAATACCCAACCCCTGCTATTGCAGAAACAGCAGACTAATGCCGATCTAATCAGTACCAGAGCGCCTTGTTCCAGAACAGACTTTTCGCATTCGCCAGGTCATCCTCCGCCAGGTAAAAGGACGAGTTGAAGACCAGCTGCGTGGACGCGTTGCCATACTGCGGCCAGTACGGCTTGTCGTCAGCCCACAAGGTGTTAGGATCGCCTGTCAGCACAAAGGAGAGGAGGTATTTCTGCATTTTGATCTGTTGCGGCGAGGTCAGCAGAGGGAGTGAAACTGAAAAAGAGGAAATACATGCGGACATACGGCGATGGTCGAGTTGACGGACGAGCTTCCACCGGCTGGAGGGCCGACAGATGAATTGCTTGCAACTGTAGGTGACGAATTGCTCACTGAGGAAAGCGTGTAGGTACTGTACCCTGCATCGACGGTTAGCAAGACTGCAGCCTTTTAATTTTAATTATGTAGTTCGTACAATAGTAACTCTGATCCGTCCCGTGAGTGGCTTCACCCAGCGCCACCATGGCATTCCACGTCTTGTTTTCGAGGGCCTGCGTCACGGCCAGATCATGGGCTGTCAGGTCAAACGATTGCTTCATGTCCGCAAAACGCAGGCCTGGGCTCGCATAGTCTGCTTCGGGATACAGCGCCAGGGCCTCTTCGACGACATCGTCGGTGATAGCCGGGAAGAAGATGCGCAAGTATGTCGCCACATCTTCGGTCGTGTTGACGCCTTCCCACGGCTGGCTGTTGGCCTCGTGCTGCTCGTGGCTGATCACTAGGGGACCGCTGAAGTTGAAACGCTTCTGGTAGAACTGGGCTTCGTCTGCATGCGGTTAGGATGGCAGACAGACGGACGGACGGACAGAGGGAGAGACCTACAGGTGTCGGCTACAAAGTCGCCGTCGACGCGAGGCTGGAACTGGTAGGTGAGTTTCTTGCACCTCGCTGGCAGCGCTGGTGAGCGTCGCAAAGTCGACTTTACGCATGCAGTCGACATGTCCGCCCTCGCAGCCTACAGCCGATGAGACGTTCTGCCAGAACATCTGCGGACAACCAGACCGTGAGAATCGCCGCTTGCAGGATTGCCGGTCGAACTCACCTCTGCATGGTGGTGGCCAGCGCCAGGCACAAAGCCGGGCGACATGACATAGGCGCGGGCGAACAGCTGCTCGGCATGGCCAGCAAAGCGCTGCACGAACGCATCAGTCAGTAATTCACTGGAGATAGAGTCTTGAGCAGCATACCGTCATCTGGAACAACACTTGCGATGCGCCCGCAGAAAACCCCACCGCCGTGATCTGCTCCGGATCGCCCCCGAAGGCGCCGATGTACTTTCTCGTCCACTGGAAGGCATGCTGGACGTCCCACAGGGCCGTGTTGCTGGTGGCGCCCTCGTGCAGCACGGTAGGCCCGTTGGCCAGGCCGGTGATTCCGAGTCGGTAGTTGAAGGCGACGAAGACGAAGTCGGTGGACAGGCTGAACAGGCCCTCGGGGGTATTTTGCGACTTGCTGCCGCCGGTGAATCCGCCGCCGTATATCCACACCATGACGGGCAGCGTCTTGCCAGTGCGGTTGGCTGGGGCCCAGACGTCCAGGTAGAGACAGTCCTCCTCAGACGCGCAGTCGACGTCTGCATCGGCCAGGGAGCCATTGTTGACCTCCGTCTCGACAGGAGGCCACTGCGGCTTGGCCCAGCGGAGGTCGCTGGTAGGGACCGCAGCATACCGGATGTTCTGATATTTGTAGTAGCCGAGAGACTCGTTGCCAGCGACAGGCACGACGGTGCAGTAGTTGAGCGTGACAGTGGGTACAGACGAGTCGGTAGTTGGGGTGGGCGTGCCCTGGGCAGAGACCCAGGCTAGGAGCAGGAAAACAACAAGCAGATGCATGGTACAGACAGGTCGAAGAACAAGAGACCACAGAGCGAATGGACAGGAGGAAGCAAAGGGGAGGCGACCAGCTGGATAAATGCCCAGCATGAGGTCAGGGGGATGACGAATGCAGATCGACGAGATTAGATGGACATACAAGCCAAGAGCAGCGTGGCCAGCAGATCGTCGTCATCGGTGGAATGCGCCATCAGATAACCTTAAGTTGGAAACTTCTTTTCTTGTACTCCGGAGAAACTTTTCTTTTCTTGTTTTCATTTCCCATTTGAGATCGCAGCAGGATCTGGATGCCGATGCAGTGGAGAAGAATGCACCACTCCGTCCATCCAGCAGGAATATCTTTCCAGGAGATTCCTTGAATCAGTAAGAACAATAGATTGATTCTTTAATCAAGTAATAAAAAAATGTATGTCGTCTCCAAGAAACGTCTACCGCGGAAGAGTGCTTTGCCGCGCCCTCCACGCCGGCGCAGTTAATTTCTTGGCCAGGGCCCTAAGTAATTTATCTCGGCTCTTCTATTGAATTTTGAAACATTTTGTCAGGCTAACCCTAGAGATCTTATAGCCCAGAGATATTATTATAGCCTACAGCTATTCTAACCCTAACCGGTTGAGCTTCACGTACCTCCTGGCTGTGTAGAACAGGGCTAGCAACCAGGTTTGATCTCTATTTCTCCTTTGCAGGTCTTGCATTTACGTGTTAGTCATGCTCCAATTGTCTGTCTGAGTAAATACATGTCATGATTACTTATGTATTCCTCTCTTGTCCTCATGAACTCAATATTCGTTAGTAAAAGACTGAGTACGATAGATAAACGGAAGACTAACCCTTGTTAGATGTCTACTGAATCATTATCCCTGCTCTCACTTACTCTTCTTCATTTTTAGGGGGATTCAACTACAGGTTTATTGTCCTTGATTGTCTGTTCTGTCCAACTTATTATATTCTTCTCGATCCTTGCTTAGATGTGCATGAATATTTTTTTTGTCTTTTTTAATTGACAGATAAAATCTACACGAAGCTGCAATCCCGGAAGTCATATTCTAGCTGTACGGAATTCTTATTAACCCTAAGTCAGCGTAGAAATACGCTTCCTTGCAGTGCTGTACCACTGAGACAAGTCAATGTACTCCGTAATGTCTCACAGATCTTCCACAGTCGATTATCTCCTCTTTGCGTCTTATCTGAATTGATTGTGCAAACGCCTACTTAAACACGCATTAACCAGATCCAGCAAAGTCTCCAGCTTGGCAGGGATAGCTTCAACACTAATTCAATCGAAATGATTCTATCGAACACTGCCGATCAGTGTAACCTCTGTGCATCATGCCAGGAACTGCCTTCAGCCTCCGTCCACGATGTCACGCTGCAATCGACTATCACGAGCTAGATCGGCTAGCTCGATCTCGTGCTATATAACAGCCATGCCCCTCTTTCGATAGCACTGCCCTACACAGTTTGTCCCTCGCCATGCACCTGCAACTGCTTCTCCTGGGCTGTTTGGCAGCTGGCGCTGCTGCTTCTACGGCCTGCGCGCAGGTCAGCAGCAGTGCAGCTGCCGCGTTGGCCACGACGCCTGCTGGTGAGTCTCTCGATGCTTTCTTGGACTCAACTGACTGACATGATCAGCGACGCCCACCGTCAACGGCCAACTTGCCTACGACTGCCTGCAGTCCGTCCCCTTGGGCCAGTCGCAGGCCCTCGCCCTGCTGGAGTCCATCTTCCCCTACGTCGAATGGCAGACTGGTCAGTCTCTCACTCTCACTGCTGAAAGACCATGCAGCTGATTTTTTTCAGATGTGTCGTACCTCAAAAATCCCCCGTCGTCCTACCTCGAGCCCGCCGTAGACATCTGGGCGGAGCTGTCCAAGGTATACGACAAGGTCAAGAACCACTCCTACGCCGGCGAATACGACTTCCAGGCCGATCTGTTCCGCACGTTTAACCTCGCTCACGACGGGCATTTCCGTTTCTTCCCCGATCTGCTGACCGAGGCCATCACCTTCAGCCGCAACGTGGGCCTCGTGTCTGTCAGCCTGGACGGCACCAGTCTTCCCCAGATCTACGTGCACTGTATGCATATCTCTTCTTTCGAGTCGTAGTCTCATGCTGACTGATGATCAGCCGACATCGCCGCCCCCGGCAACTTCACCCCCTCGCCCGTCACGTCGATTAACGGCCACGATGCCGTGTCCTTCTTGAACGACTGGGCACAGCTGGGCGCGCTGAACGACCCCGATGCCAGCTACAACTCCGTCTTCTTCTCCAAGGCCTTTGCAGCCGCCAATCCGGCCGGCTGGGAGGGCTACTTCGCCGGCAGCGGGCGCTTTGGCTACATCTGGCCGGGCCCGCAGACGGAGATCGGCTTCGAGAACGGCACGACGCGCACGTATCCGACCATCGCCAGGGTCATTGGCAATTTCACCGGCGTCACCGACGGCGAGAGCATGTACCAGAAGTTCTGCACCGGGAAGAAACCCGCCACGTCGTCTGCGACGACCACGACGACGACCAACACCACCACCAGCCCGGCCCCGGGATACCCATCGCCCGTCGTGATCAGCTCCGACCACGTCGTGTCGGGCTACTTCCTCAATTCGACGCGCAACTCGGACGTGGCCGTACTGAGCATGCTGAGCTTCGAGCCCAAGACGCCGGCGGAATTCCAGGCGGTCGTGCAGACCTTCCTGGCCGACGCCAAAGCGGCGGGCAAGACGAAGCTGGTCGTCGACCTGTCGGCCAACGGCGGCGGCTACATCCTGCAAGGGTACGACACCTTCCGGCAGCTGTTCCCGCAGATCGAGCAGGACGGCTTCACGCGGTTCCGGTACACGGAGGCGCTGGCCGTCATGGCGGAGGTGTATGCCAGCGCCATCCCGGCCGACTTTGATCCCGCCACAGCGTCGGACGAGCTGATCAACATGTACGAGTCGGTGCCCAACTACCGGTACGACGTGAACCTGACGGACGGGCATTTCGCGTCCGTGGCAGACAAGTTCGGCCCGCACGAGTACAACGGCGACAACTTCACGAGCATCATCCGCTGGGACCTGAACGACCCGCTGACGACGGTCAACGCGACGTACGGCATGGGCATGGAAATCACCGGCTACGGCAGCCGGCGCAACTTCACGCAGCCGTTCGCGGCCGAAGACATCATCCTGCTGTACGACGGCTACTGCGCGTCCACCTGCACACTGTTCTCCGAGTTCCTGCGCATCCAGGCGGGCGTCAAGAGCATCGCGCTGGGCGGGCGGCCGGTGCCAGGGCCGATCCAGGGCATTGGCGGCGTCAAGGGCGCCAACAACTTCGCCTTCGACTACATCCAGTGGCTGGCGTCACTGGCACTGGATACAGCGACGCCAGAGCAACGGCAGGGGGCCAACTTCACGGCGCTGACAGAGCTGAGCCTGCTGCCGGTCAACCGGTCGATCGACACGTCGATCAACGTGCGCGACAACATCCTGCGCGACCACCTGGCGGACGGGCTGCCGGCGCAGTTCGTCTACGAGGCGGCCGACTGTCGGCTGTACTACGAGCCGGCGATGGTGGTAGACGTGACGGCCATCTGGGAGGCGGCGGCGGACGCAGCATGGGGAGACAAGCCGTGCGTGAGCGGGCAGTTGGAACTGAAGAAGCGGACGATCAGCGAGAAAGCGTCTGTTAAGTCGACACGGGGGTCGAAGCTGATGAAGACGTTTGAGCCGGTGCAGAGGGATCGGTTTTGGCAGTATCGGCAGGGGACGAGGGTGCCGTTCTAACCGAGCGAGCGAGGATGACATAGACATTGCAGAAGCTAGAAGCATAGTTCATCAACTAGACGCTTTCTTAGAGAATGCATTGAACTTGATTCGAGTCATTCTTCGAAGGAAGTAGACTACTACGTAGGAAACGTACCGAGGATGTTGTAGATAAGATCATGTGAGAAAGCCAGCCCTAAGACGGACACAGCAACAATCAACCTAGCTAATTACATACTGTTCTGCTGCTCTTGCTGACTCTGACTACTGACTACCATATCCATGCGTGTGATTTATTTTATCTCATTTCATCTTCAAGGCAAACAGAAACTTCCGACATGCTCATGCTCTCTCTCATTTACGAGAAATAATCCATTCATCCATTCATCCATTCATCATATCATGATATCCTGGACGTGAATTTCTCATTCTGCTTTTTTTTAAAAAAAAATGCTTTTTTTATCTTCCTGTAAGGATGGTATTAATCACGGCCATGACTAAATAAATCCTCTTAAAATAAAAATAAAATTAAAAAACGAAGTTCTTCCTGAGGCTAGCTAGCTCTCTCTATGATTATTCATATTTACTTCATTTACTTAGTTAGATGCAGGTTTTCATTTCTTTTCTTTTCTCTCCTCATTCAGCTACAGGCTCCAGCATTTGGACCTTCTTCTATTCACTAGGACGTAACTACGTTCGTACAGTACATGTACAATTAATACGCACCACTCTCTCTCTTTTTCTTTATTCATGAAAAGTTCATTATCACTATTCTTGTAAACTCTGGCGCAGCGATGGTATTTATTTATGATCTTTTTTTTTTACAAGAGATATACAAGTTTCGTCAGGTTGTATTTTATATGAGGTACTGTACAGTTGTCTGCACTTACTCTGTGTAACTAACGGCTATACTGAACTAGTATTAATATTCATATTAATATTGTATTGATTAAATCGAATCAATCAATAAATTAATTAAGTAATCACTCAATATCTTCTACATCAGTTACACTAGTTATATGTATGCGAATAATGTTACACTGCTGAGAGTATAATACATAGTATTTATCCTTGAATCAACCTTTTTTTTTCAGCTGTTTATTTATATTTTATTCTCTTTTGCATACTGCTGCTAGAATAACCGCGGCTCGGCTATATCCGTCTCCACATGTCCGTGCGAGCCCCAGAAAGATAAGATGATCGACATCTCCACATCACCTCCTCCATGCGGAGTATATGCACTCTCATCTCATAAATACAGCTCAATCAGCCTGTTCGCTGTTATTATTCTTGAAGATTATGCTGATAACAATGATCTACTGATCATCCTGTCTAGCAGTTGATTAAATCTACTATCTAGACTGCCAGCATGGCAACCAACCCCCCCAACCCCCTCCCCTTCTCCGAACCCCCCTACCTGCGCGGTCTCCCCTCGCCGTACTACACCGACTCGCACCGCCGCTTCCAGCGCGCCTGCCGGGCGTTCGTCTGGGAGAACCTGCACGCGCACGCCCTCGAGTACGAGCGCGCAGGCCATGTCCCCGAGCACGTCTTTGCGACGTTTGCGGCGCATAACATGCTCATTCCGAATCTGCCGCCGCCGCTGCCGGTGCGGTGGTTGAAGAGGCTGGGCATTCATGACATTCTAGGTGTGAAGGTCGACGAGTGGGATTATTTGCATACGGGGATTTATTGCGATGAGGTTGGCCAACATCATCATCACCAAAATATACGTGCGTGTGTGTGATGTTGGGGCTGATGATGCTCTAGATGTCCCGCTCCGGCCTCAGCGGCCCTGCCATGTCCATGACGGCCGGCCATGCCTTTGGTATCCCGCCCATTATCAAGTTCGGCAGTCAGGAGCTGCAGGAGCGCTTTCTTCCTGACCTCCTGACCTGTCGTAAGCGTATCTGTCTGGCCATCACGGAGCCGGAGGCTGGCAGCGACGTGGCCAATATCACGACGACGGCGGTCAAGACGGAGGACGGGAAGTACTACGTTGTCAACGGGACGAAGAAGTGGTATGTATCCAGCAAGTCCTTCGAGTAGGATCACTCTGATTGATAGCTAACTGACTGTTACAAAATGTTTGCAGGATCACAAACGGCATCTGGTCCGACTACGCCACCATGGCCGTCCGCACCGGCGGCCCCGGCCCAGCCGGTCTCTCGCTGCTAGTCGTGCCTCTCAAAGGCCATCCCGGCGTGACGATGCGCCCTATCCCCGTCTCGGGACAGACCTGCGGCGGCACGACATTCATCTCGCTGGAGGACGTCCGCGTGCCAGTCGAGAACCTGATCGGCCGCGAGGGCCACGGGATGCGGTACATCATGACGAATTTCAACCACGAGCGGCTGACGATCGCGGTGGGCGTGACGCGGCAGGCGCGCGTCGCCCTGTCGACGGCCTTCGAGTACTGTCTGCGCAGAGAAGCGTTTGGGCAGCCGCTCATCCAGCAGCCCGTCGTGCGGCACCGGCTGGCCAAAGCCGGCGCGGAGCTCGAGGCCCTCTCCGCCTGGATCGAGCAGTTCCTGTACCAGCTCAGCCGGATGCCGAAAGACGACGCCGACCGCGAGCTGGGCGGTTTGACGGCCCTGGCCAAGGCCAAGGCGGGGATGGTGCTGAGCGAGTGCGCGCAGTGTGCCGTGCTGCTGTTTGGCGGGAATGGGTATACGCGGGGTGGACAGGGGGAGATAGCAGAGAGTAAGCCAGCCTTGTTGCCAAATAGGTATATTGCTGTTGAACTGCGGCTGATTGATGCAGAAATCTACCGCGAAGTCCCTGGGGCCCGTATCCCGGGAGGATCGGAGGACGTCCTGCTCGACCTGGCGGTGCGGCAGCTGGTAAAGAAGTACCAGGCCGAGACGAAGAAGTTGGAAGCGAAGGCGAAGATTTGACTGTACAGTAGTATATATACAATCAATGAAACTGTATTCGAATGAAGGATCAAATTCGGTTGAATAAAGTAAATAGAGCAGAGTAAATGCTGTACAGAAAGAACTTGACGAAATAGACGGAATGAGGACCGCTGACGATGATAATTATTGTTAATTACTGATGAGCAGATCAAGAGTGAAACTTGAATTTCGTGTCATTTCTTTCGTCAATATCCCTATCCTCATGCCTATGCCTATCCCTGTGCCTATACCTAGCATAATATCAACATGACATGACAGACATGACAGACAGATATGCAGGGTATTAAATATGTACAGTACATCCAGTACCTAACAGCAGAAACTCGAGAATGAAAATTCCAGAGTATGTACATACAAGCAGATCATAAATCAGTGAGCATGCAACGCATTCTTCATCATCATCATCATCATCATCACCACCACCATCATCATAAATATGTACCGTACTGTACCAGGCCAGTCCAGTCCAGCACAGTCCAGCCCAGTCCGCAGATGCAACGCATGCAACGCAAAATAAATCTCATTCATCATCATTCGTCCATTATCGAATGGCACTCAAAACCAGATAATCCCCACAACCAAACTGACCAGGATAGCTAGGAAGCTTCCCCGTCGATCGGTCGGTCCTGACGCTACGCCGACCTGTGTCTCTGGAATGCTCTCGAAGTGTGCGTGCGAGTGCAAGTGCATTCGATTATCATTATCTAGACCTCTAGGGAGGATGTCGACTGACGCGAGACACAAGAATGAGAGTGAGAGTGAGAGAATCCCGCCTGTCGTGTGGCTCTGGCAGACTTGCTGCCCCGTCTTCTCACGAGCGTGCTGCGGTTGAGCTGGTAGCTTTCCTGGTAGGGAGGTAGAGTTGTCCCAAGTCGGCTCGATAAGAGACTGTCCGGCTTTTCTTTTTCTTTTTCCAAGCGAATACCCCGGCTGGCTGGGACGGAAACTGGCTGCCAACACGCCCGTCTCCTCCGGTGCAAGCGCGTCACCGACCTCGAATCGACTGGCTGCGATAATCAGCATGATCCTAATATATATTTCTATATTCATACGTACGGGAGATCCCCACGCCACTCTCCATTTCCGAACCCACAGCAAGACGATCGAAAAAGCTCCCGCTGTACGTGTACGCCTCCCACGCTTCACACACAATCGGCGTCAGGGCGAGGAGCGTCGCGATGACAAAAGCCAGCAGAGGCACAGCGCTGGGATTGGAATTGGGATTCCGCAGCCTGAACGGCATGGTCGGTCGCGTACATAGATAAACTTGAAGGGAATCACTCAGATACGAGACATGTGTCGACGAGTGCCAGCCATGCGGCCAGCTGAGAAGCTGAATGCTGAGTGTATGGACAGAGATGAGATATATCAGCGATGCCTATACATCTCCAGATGGCAAAAAACAAACAACAGGCGACTGGAGACTGGCGATGAACGAGGGAGGAATTGATAAGCGGGGTTATTGCTACAGCGATGCGATGCGATGCAATGCAATGCGTGTAGCAGAAAGAAGAGAAAGCATCTAATCCCCAGCCCGATCGACACCGCGCAGACCGCGTCAGCTGCAGAAAAAAAATATACTGTAGGCTGTAGCCTGTCCTCCGCAGCTGAAGGTGTCGATGTCGATCTGTCTCAGATCGGGCGGAGTAGCGCATCCGTGACGTCAACCGAAACAGGCATGTCGGACGTTTTTTCCGGTGTCGACCACGATCGGCCAGGATTTGCGATTTCTGGTAAGTGGCTAATACAGTATGCAGTATGCATGGGGAGGGTATCTATCTCTAGAGGCTACCTAGAGCCTTGCTATCTTTGTAGTAGTTTGTGTGTGTCTAGTCGATGAGGGGTGCATGCAGATGGATGGATGATGCATGATGAGGGATGCTTATCGCGGGGTTTTATTTGTCGAGTACATAACTACAGTAATACAGAAGAGTTCAATACTAGGCTAGTCGTATCTTTAGCTAAATGAATAAATAATAAATACGGAGTAAATAAATAAACTTTTACACACTCTCTTTCAGCCAGAGTACACACAGTACACCATTAGTTAGTACACAATCCTGTCTATGTTTTTTACAAAAATCATGGTTATTTTTAGAACTGTACAGTACAGCATGCACATGCACAGAGACACCTATACAGAAGACATGCTTCTAACAGGCCATATTGTACAGCTGAGTACCTATGTAGACAATTCCAGACACTGCCACGCTGACTGACTGCAATGATCAACAATGTCATTAGTAATGATAACCCTCTGAAATGCACGTGCATGCGTATATACTAGTACTGTACATATACATGCACTGTACAGACATACATATGGTGTGTCATATGATAATAACAGTTGAATTATCCCTACAAGTATGTACTGTGTGCAGACAATATTTTACTGGATAAGTGACTTTATACCATTTACTGCTCCATATACTCAGGAGCGGGGTATTTATCAGTTCTTGGGTATTTAGCATTTTGTATTTAGCATTTTGCATCTTTATCCATGCGGAATCCGGTTTTGTTCGGGTTCGGATTTGAATCCGCAGAGTACAGGGCCTGAAGAGTAGATAGGTGGATAGATACGTCATCTGATCCCTATCTTATTCATTGTCATTCTCGACTCTACTTCTTAAGTACGCAGGTTAGACATCTAGATATGTATGTACTATCTACACTGATAGAGGTACCAAGTACTGCTCGACGAGTTCCTGTTGATGCGCAGGATAGTGATAATGCATTTTATTGTACTCTATGGTGAGTATATTTGTATGCACGATGCCAGTAAGAATAGAACAGTCATCAAAACAGGAAAAACAATCTTCAACGGGGTATAATGTCAAAACACCGCCATACTACATCAGACGGTGGATGCAATGCAATGCAATCAGTCAGTCAGTCAGTCAATACTAGCAATCTCGTCAAGGTCATCATCATCCAGAAACCCCACAAACGCCCGGTTCAGAAATGCATGCCATACTTTGTTTTTATAGTGCGTCTTGCCACTCTTACCCTTCTTCTTCTTCTTCTTCTTTTTCTTCTTCGTCGTGTCGATACTGCCGTCTAGGCGATCTGCTTTGTCCGGTTCCTTCTTGGCAATCCGCGTTGCCAGCTTGAAGAAACTGCGCACCGTCAGATCCTTCATCCGGTAAATGTCATCGCCCCGCGTGTGATACTCGACTTCAAACTCGATGGGAACGGGCTTTCGCGGATTGTCGGGCTTGCTCTTGTCCGCTTCCAACCGCGTCAGGTTGGCATAGTACTGCGTGTAGCCCAGCAATGTCAGCGGCTGGTTCGAGTACGCCGGACCCGGCGGAGCAGCCGGCGACGGCGGCTCGGGGATCTTGAACTTGTTCTTTTTCTTCGACACGACCGCATCTGGCTGGGAGCGGTTGCGGGCTAGCGCCCACGTGAGCGAATCTTCCAGTCCCGTGATGTTGTACTCGAACACGCGCAGCGTCGGATAGTAGTTGGGAACCACGCTCGGCGACACCAGCGACACCGCATAGCGCTCCGCCCACGGGCCGCCGATTTGCTTCATGAATTTTTTCTTCTTGTCCTGGGCATCGATCGGACTGTTTTCTGCCCATCCATCTTCCAGAATAGGGGGTGGTGGAGATGGCATCCTCGACCAGTCGTCCCGGAGACTGGCCAGGTAGCTCGTCCGAGATTGCGCCGTCAGGTCGTTGTCGTCGTCGTGACTAGGATCTTGTAGACCGCTCGTCTCATCCATCACATCTGCAATCGTTATGTCGTGCATATCCTGCAGGATAAAGTGATCGATGTTCATGTGCCCGTAGAGGCTCCCCACGACCACGTCGCGGTACTGCCGCAGCCACAGCGCGTACTTCTGCCAGCACGATTCGTCCCAGCTGCGCTTGTCCCCCGAGCGGGCGGGCGGCACGTGCCCCATCAGGATCGCCTTCATGCCGCGCTCCCGCATCAGCTGCAGCTGCACGCGCAGCCATTCCATGTGCTGATAGCCCGGCTCCGACTTGGCCTTGCAGCCGTCGACCGCGTGGTTCGAGTCGAAAAAGTACATCGTGTTCAGGCTGACGACGGCCAGCTTGTCGGGAATCACCTCGCTCCAGAACCAGCCGCCTTCGACAAAGGTATGGCGCTGTTCCTCAGGGATGAACTTCTTCCACATCTTGGCGAACTTCTTGGTCCACACGTTCGGCCCTTTGGTGAAGATGTTGTGTGGCATAACGTCGTTGTTGCCGATGGTCGGGACGATGGGGATGAGGAGATTCCCCGTCGGGTCATTTCTCGCCCTAAAGACCTCCACAAACTTGTCGACGAGGACCTGGTTGAACTCCTCGATCTGGCTCTCAGTCCGCGGGATGCGCTCGTCGTTGTCGTGGCGGGCCGAATCGCCGGTCCAGACGACAAAGTCGATCTGGTCTTTGAGATTCTTCTCGATCCAGTCGAAAGTCTCGTTGACCAGCGCATACGGCGAGTCGCAGTCGCTGCCGGCGGCTCCCAAGTATCCCGCTTTTCCCTTTCCCCGGTGGCAGGCCTTGCTCGGAGAGGAACCTGGTTGGTAGAACCTGTCCAAGTGCACATCTAGACCAGTCAGTCATTGTCCTACAGCACCATCACCGAGAAATATACCTGTAATGTGTAAGAATCGGCCATGCAGCCGGCGCGAAGCAGCCTCGTCGCCCTTCTCGACCTGCTCACCGAACGGCTGCTGCACGGTCACTGGCGAGGCCGCAACGGCCGCAGCCAGCAGGCACAGTAGGAACCGCATGAGAGGCGAATTCCGTCAGACTCGAACTCGACGACGCGGGGACCATCGGGTTTGGCCAGTATATAAAGAGAGTGATGGCAGAATCGGCGGTGTTGGCGCCCTAGAATGGCCGGGCGATCGACGTCACCATGCGATCGGGTCCGCTGGCGTTCAGGCACGGAACACGCCAACGCACCAATCGGGAGATAGTCCCAGCCTTCTGAAACCGCTGTAGCAGCAAGGTCCTCAGCACGAAGGATGGATTCAAGGACGACCGGATGACGAGGCAAAAATTCACAGGGCGACGATCTGTTGTATATACCAGTATTCGGATCCCCGGTCACACGTCGTGTGCACGCGACACTGCAGCGAAGCCAACCAGCCTGGGCGGGCGGCCCTGGCACGTGCAGCAGTCCCGGGCGGTGGCTGGCCGCGACGATCGGTGGGGAAAGACAGTGGGCACGTGATCGACATGACAGGAAGAGCTTATCTAATCGGGATGGACGAGCATCAATGGAAATTGCCTAGGGTTATCATTACTGCGAATTCACTACCAATTGTTGCATTCAGGGAAGACAAGTGACAGCTCACGCAAATGCGTCAAACAAAGTCACCTGACGAGTGTCATGTTTCACGCAGACTAAGCATTCCAAATCTCAGCTCTAGTTGTCAACGACAACTTCCCGGAATATGTCGATATGCAGATGCTGCAAGAGACCAATGATACCAAGAATGATACAAGAAAGGGATGGACATTTATTCAGGGATCCAGGCATCCACATGCTGATCGAGCACAGCGATCACCCAAGAATATGATGGTTGTCGAAGGAGCTGACTTCCACGAGGACGACGAACCACTGCTACCTGACAATCGAGAAGCAGGATGATCCACAGCGACAGGGCAAGAACAGTGATGTTCTGGCATCTGCATTGAGGGCTGGTAATAGTTCTCCCGATGCGGCAGTAGGTACATCCATCTACTTTATCCCTCCGTTTTGCAAGAACAACGACGATCGCTGCTGCTGTTGTGCGGGGAAGTCGCGTTCAACGTCCTGCTGACCGTCCACCAATCACGGTCCTGACCCAGGCTGGTTGCGCAGGAAGGTGCATCCTCAACTCCGTCGTACTTGCCTGATTCGGCATGCTGTTCCGCGTCCAGTGCAACTGCCTCATCGGGATATTTGATTTCTAATCCGGATGGGAAGGTGCAGCCTGTCTGCCATCCACCGGCACGATATCAACGGACATGCCTCGCACAATGAGCTGAACGTCTGCCTGGATCTTCAGTATCTACTGAAATGAAGCTGCTTTCTTATATTCTGGTGGCAGCCTTGGCTGTCTTCTCCGCCAGCCAGGTCACTTACCAGGACTCCTCTGCCACGCGACTGCGCGTCGACAACGGCACCTACGGCCCCCCGATCGAGGAGGTGCACTACTTCTACGACCAGTGGCCCGTTGGCTTCGCCGTGTCGAGCAAGGGCCGCATCTTCGTGTCCTACTACCCCGGCAACTACACCTACACCCTAGGCGAGGTGGTCAACAAGACCGCCGAACGCCCCTATCCCAGCCCCGAATGGAACATCCCCCCGGACGACATCACCCAGATTATCGATGACACGCTGTTCGGCTCGACCAATTCAACGGGGTTCATCAGCGTGCAGGCCTTGTACATCACGCCTGCCACCGACACCCGCCCAGAGACGTTGTGGGTGCTGGACGTTGGCCGGCCCAACGTTCAATCCCAGACGGCCTATGACTTGCCTGGTGCGCTGAGATCAGACCGACAGGATCATATGACTGACAGACCGCAGGAGGGACGAAGCTCGCCGCGATCAACCTCGACGATGACACGGTCATGCGGGTATACACCTTCCCGTCAACGGTCAACTACCCCGACTCGTCCGTCAACGACATTCGGTTTGATTTGCGTGAGAATATCACGGAAAGCGGTGAAGGAGTAGTCTATATCAGCGACGAGTCGCCAGAAGGTCGCAACGGGATCATCGTCTTAGATCTCGGCACGGGCGAGTCCTGGCGCCATCTGGACCGCCATCCTTCGACGCTAGGCGTGTACGGGGTGGTGCCCAGCTATCAGGGCGTGCCGTTCTACCAGCAGTCGATCGACACGCCGTATTTCCAGCACCTCACGCAGGGGTGTGATGGCATCCAGCTGGATCCGACAGGGTCGGTGCTGTACTTCTCGCCCATGACGTCGGACTATCTCTACTCGATCGAGACCAAGTATCTGCTGGACCACACGAGCCCGACGGCAATGCAGGCGGCCAACGACAACGTGAAGAACCTGGGCCAGCGGGGCGGCAACGCGAACGGATTCGAGGGCGACTCGAACGGGCTGATCTACCAGGGGATTCTGGAGCAGAACGCGATCTACGCGTATGACCCGGTGCGGCGGCGGAATGTGCCGTTCCTGCGCGATCCTCGCATCATCTGGCCGAACGGGATGTCGATTGCGGAGGACGGCTATCTGTATGTGATTATCAATCAGCTGCCGTACCAGCCCATCTGGAACAACGGGACGGATCTGCGGCAGTATCCGGGGGCGATTCTGCGGGCGAAGCTGCCGAACGGGGGGACCAAGATCACGACGTTGTACTGACAGAGCATGTAATCCTGCAAATATTCTCCATCTGAGGATGACCTATATTCTTCGACGGCCTTCATTATTAATCAGCGATCAATGTCAATCATTTGATGCGTCTTTCCTAAATCGTACCAGCACATAGAACAGTCCAGTAGTTGTCCATGGAGGTCGGAATTAGCCATAGCCTAGCAGGTAGCCTTAACCTAATTAATGCTTCCTTCCAACTTCTCCTCACGACGGACGGCGGATGACGCCTGTTGGGATCATTGCCCCTCACGTCTGCCCCTCTCGGACGACCTATGCTACAGTCCCGAGGATAAATGCCAGACATCCCAGGCAGGCAGGCAGGCAGACTTGACTTTACTCGACTGATTTTTAACCGAGAGAAGAAGATAGCTCGCAGACTACCTATTCTCCTCTCCTAAATCTCTCCCTCCCGTCGACGTATATCCTTAGTTATACTTGATAAGCAAACATGGCGGGCTTTCCGTCTGTCAAACCGGCTTTTACTGTCAAGGTATGTACTGTACATACAGTTCTACCGACTGTATCTACAGGAAACAGAGCAATGATGCGACGAATTAACAAATTGATGTCCTGCCGACTAATGTGGTTTATTGGGTTTTTTTTTCTTATTCACCCTTTTTTTTTTACTCTTTAATTTATTTTCAGCTGTTGATACTGACTTGTACTGTATACAGGTTATTGCTGCTCCCCCTCTGTCTGTTGGTATGTAGTGCATGCATCAACGACATCAGCAAAAGCAAACACACGAAAGAGAAGGGAACATATTACTTGATTTGAGAGACCACCTTTCTAACTGTACTATCTTGATATACAGGCAGCGCCCACCGCAAAACGAGCCTGACTGTCGTGGTACGTATATCATCATCCCTTACTCGCATAAATATGTCTGTCCTAACGATATGACATCTTCCAGCCCATGACAGGAGGCACCATCACCCCCGAACCAGGCTTTTCGCCCGCTCTGGACGCCGAGTTCGTCGGCACGGGCAACGATTATATCCACGTTGATCCGGATAATGGGCGTATGAGGTTGGATGCGCATGGGGTGGTGAAGTATGCATACCTATATTTACAATAATGTATCAATTGAGGGTTCTGGCTGACTGCTTGGTTGACAGGACTAAAGATGATGCGGTACGTATACTTCCTACCTATCAAACTGCGACGAAAGGATCAACTCGCTAATACGTATTTTCTTGCCAGCTGATCTACCTCAACTACAAAGGCACTGTGAACCTCACGCCCGAGGTGCAGAGCATCTTTGCCGGAAAGGCGGGAGACCTCACAACGCCGTTTGGTGATGTCTGTACGTGTTGATTATCGTCACTGTCGTTTATATTCTGACTTCAATCATTGACTGACTGATTGAGGACAGTTACGTATTTCACCTTCGAGGTGGGTATCTTCTAGTATAACCCTATAAAAAAAGAGAAGGGATCTGATCAAACTTCCTTACTCACGTTCTGCCAGACCGGCGACGACCGCTACAAAGCCCTCGAAAACGGCGTCTTTGTCGCCCAGGGCCGCTTCGTCAATGTCTCTGGCAAGCCGCTTGTCGTGGAGTACAGGGTTGGACAGGTTGTGCAGGGATGAGCAGTAGCCTAGCACTCAATAGCACTCAGTAGGAGAGACTAGCAGGGGTATGTATACGGAGTACATACGTGGCTGGATGGCTGGATGGATGGATGGATTGTTGTGGATGCAGAACGAATAGTATTAAATACAACAGCAGCAGTTTAACTTTCAGTCCAAGATCCCCTCTTATTCAGAATATCCATTAATCGAATGAATGAAGCAGTTTTTTCTATCTGATCTTGAAAACAACGGCAGGATCATCATCAAAGTGAACTCGAGTATGAATCATCCTCAGTAATACATTAATTAATTATTAATTAATGAACTCTTGTCATCCACATTTTATTTTAATTCTGCTGACGCTTGGATGTCAGTCAATGTCATTGGAACTGTAATGCAAAGTAAAATGAAAATAGGAAATTCCCGATTTTCAACTACTGATGATGATATCATGGCTTAAATATTGAAGATTTCCTCTTTTGAAAATAAAAATCCTTTTTCGTAATTACTGAAAACACAAAAAAAAGTTGTTTTTCATGTCATGAAATTGAAATTAATACCGTCTGCATCCCTAGATGAATCTGAGCGGGGAGGCACAGCCAAGGAAGTAAATAGCCGGTACGGAGTAATTCCGGAAACCTAAACTCAATCAGGAAAGACGCCTTTCACCAAAGCATGGAAGAAGAAAAATTTTTCCACGGCCCCGACTCATCAGCAAATCCGTTCCTCTGGCGTAATGGCAACGCGTTCGGCTTCTATTCGTGTTCTACCGTCCAACGGGTAGGGACCGAAAGATTCTCGGTTCGAGTCCGGGGAGGAACGACGACCCCTTATTTTCTTTTTTTTTTGCTTTTTTTTATTTTGCTCTTTTTTCTTTGTGTTGTCGTTTGTGATTAATTTGTCTGGTTGGTTTGGAATGAAGTAATTAATCTGTGGTGTCTGTGGTGTTTGGTTCTGAGAGAAGGACAAACAAAGGAGAGATCTTGGTCGAGAACTGTGTCATTAGTATTTTATACATACCATGCCTTAAAAGTTGCCACGGGACCGCCCGGGAAGAAAGCCATTGTTATTGTTAACATTTGATTTCCCAATTCCCTGATATATATCGATTTTGCTACACATATTATAATTAATATTGCGCTTCTGAAGCAAGAGATTCTGAATGCGAATGGGCAGCTAGTTTTTTTTTTTTTTTGCCATTTTCGTCTCCAAGAGAAGGTAGGTGTCTACCAATTTGTATAGAATTGCAGTTTTTATTTCATGTGTCTTTCTTTCTTTCCATCCACCTACCACCCCATCTTTGCCACTATTTGGATGCATGTTCCAAGACCGTATATCAGGCTCAATACAGCAAGCAAGGATTGCAGCAGATCTTGCCTTGTATTATACACATAACAATTTTCGCATAAATATCCAGGAGACAGTTATTTGTGCTTTTGGACATAATACCACCGCTCTCTGAAGTGAATTTTTGACAGCTTCTGTCAGGTGTCAATGGCAGGGTTCGATTCAAATGTTCCAAAAAAAAAATGCCTGGCTGGAGGGCATATTTAGACCCTAACTCTTGGTATTTCCTTGCTGCATGGTCTTTTTTTTTCATGGCCAAAACTGTCCAGCACCATGATATAAAAAAAATTCTCAAACAAAAGAATTACCCAGTTTTTTATTAGCCAAATAAAAGAGTTAAGGATTAACAATAGAAATTGAGCTAGGTAACGGAATATTTATTCAAAACCCTTTGTTTATTATATGCATACGTGTAGTAAACGCTAAATTTATGCATATTGTTATATGAGCTAGTGCAATTAATTTTTAACATAAAACCTGTTAAAAAAGGAAGTAGACGCCATGCGGGATGCATCGTACCTGGCGTATTTCCATACAAAATGCCACCAATCTGCGCAGGATCTCCTCGACATAGCTGTTTTGTTCCTGTCATCGCTGGACTGTTACCTGTCTCATCTGTTGGGTATTTAGTTGTCGTGTCCGTGTCGCAGTGCTAGTAACCTGCCTATGGTGACATTGTTGATGGACAATCGGCAATGCCTATATACCTCGTGCGATAATCTGACTTGATCCTTCCTGATGCGAATCCGGCTTTTGGAAACCTGTCCGTCGAGCCGAGTTTAGGCCATCTAACTAGCTGCCCTGCTGGCTGACGTCGACAGAGGAGAACGCACTTTGGTCATACCTCCTGGTCATGCTGGACCAGATCCTCTCCTAGGCGAGACAGATGCATCCGTTTTCCCGTGTCTGCCTGCAGTCAGTCCGATGATTCATTCAGCTTTCTCTCTTGATGTCGAGACACGAGGATCTATCTCGGATCCGAAAAGAGCGAGCGTCGGAACGGACTTGCACCATTTGCCGGTGTGGCCCTGAATTATGCGGCTGTGACTCACGCGGAGGCATATCACCATGCCTGGTTGTGCTGAAGCAGGAGTCGGGTTGCTCGGATGCTGTTGCGGTGTGTTATCGTGTATATGGGTGGCCTGATCTGATCGTCTCAGGACATCCAGTCGCGGAGAGTTCCAGAAGCACGGGTTGCGCAGGATTTAGAGGCGCTCGTCAACAATAGACTAGACGCCTTAGTGTTAGGAAACTTTTTGCAGCGGGCACAGCCCGAACGGAAAGGGGAAAAAAAAGAATATTATTTTTTATATATATTTTTAGTTTCTTTCTATTTCAAGTAATAATTACGCACAACCTTAATTACTATATATGGATTATTACCTGATTAGGCTATTTAATTAAATTAATAATATCCATGATATTACTATATCTATACCAGCATCTTGTCAGGTACATACATACATCCTTGCTGATGACGACAGACCAACAAAAATAATAGAAATGGCAATAACGTCACTTGTTCAAGTGCCACGGCTGCAAGGCAGACAGCATAGATAAATGCATGTATTGGACTATTCCCCGACTCTTGCCGATTATCGGAGGAGTCAGGATGTAGACAGGCAGGCAGCTGACCTTGATGTTGGTTTTGGACACGATGGGATTGATTCATCTCTATCAGGGGGACGGAACGAAGACAGGACATGGGCATATCCTATCCACAGCACAGAACAGCATAGCGATGTTGTATGCACGGAATGCTCGGTACGTAGGTACTGACATACATACATATCACAATTCCGTCTATACCGATACCAACACATAGCATATATAAACCATGATACCCTCTGCTCTGCTATTCATTCACCAGACATTTTCCTCAAATCCACAACTTTTATCTATCCATCCATTTATCCATCTATCTATCTACATATCTATCTCCTCCATGACAGAACACACCACAGTCGCCATCATCGGTGGCGGCGTCGCCGGCCTCACGCTGGCCAACGCCCTCGAGCAAGCCGGCATCGCATACATCCTCTGGGAAGGCCACGACCAGATCGCCCCGCCGGCGGGCGCCAGTCTGGGGCTGATGCCCAACGGCCTACGGATTCTCGATCAGTTGGGGGTCGTCGACGAGGTTGAGAAGTATGCGGTGCCGCATGATTCGTGGGAGCATCGCGATGGGGATGATCCGGATGGGAGATTGTATAATACGTTCAGGGCGATGAGGGGGTATCGGGATGAGTTAGTCTAACGCTACACTTGTACACAGGCAGATATATACTGAACGGAAAGTTACTGATGAGTGGTACAGACTCGGCTACGGCGGCTTCTTCCTCGAAAGGCAGTGTTTCCTCGAAATTTTGTACCAGAACATCAAGGACAAGACGCGGATCCACACGAAGAAAAAGGTCGTTCGCGTGCAGAGTCTTGACGCCAAAGCCATCGTCACGGCCGCTGATGGCAGCCAGATCAGCTGCGATGTCGTTGCCGGGGCGGATGGCGTAAAGAGTGCTGTTCGTGCTGAGATGGAGGCCATGAGCCTGGCATCGGGGGGAGGAGGGGTTAGTAGGGATTCAAATTGTACGCACTCGTACATCCATTCTGCAATCAAATCTCTCCTGTGTTGACTTCTGCAGTCCTCTCGACGAAATACGCCTGTGTCTACGGCATCTCCTCGCCCCTGCCTGCTATCAAACCCGGCAAGGCCTTCACCATCTACCGGAAAGACGTCTCGCTGCTCATCGTCACCGGAATTGGAGGCGTCATCTACTGGTTCGTCTTCCAGGATTTGAAGGCGTCGATCCCGTTTGGTCAGACGCCACGTTACACGCAGGCCGATGTGGAGGCGCTGTGCGGCATTGTTGCAGATACTATCGTCACAGATGGCGTCAGGTTTGCCGACATTTTCAAGAATAGGACGACAGCCGTGATGACGGCGCTGCAGGAGGGTGTTGTCGATACGTGGTTTGCGGGGAGGTTGGTGTTGCTGGGGGATTCGGGGCATAAAGTATACACCTATCACTCTTCTTTTACTTGCGATTCATTCTAATATGGTCTCATGTCTAGATGGTCCCCCACGCCGCCATGGGCGCCAACCTCGCCATGGAATCCGCCGCCTGTCTTGTGAACCGCCTGCTGGAACTACGCGAGCGGCATCCCTCCTTGCAGCAGCAGCATATCCCCCTAGACACCCTCCAGTCCTCTCTGCGGGAATACTCGCGCAATCGCACCGCCAGAGCAGCCGACGTCGTCCGCCTCGCCAACTCCGCCTGCTGCGCACAGCTGAAAGCCGGGCCGGCGGAGGAGGCATACATATGCAACATCCTGCCGACACTAACAAACGAGGCGTGGCTGGCGAGAGCGCTGGGGTCGTTGTGCAAGGCGGAGAAGCTTGAGAACTGGCACCGGCAGAGTGATCGCGTGGCGTTTTATACGAGGCAGGCGGAGAGGATTCGCCAGAGGATGGAGATGGAGCGGCTGGAGAGGGAGAAGGAAAACGGACTGGGACAGTGAGGCAGCAGTAGTCCGACGATAGGAGAAGTCCCGCGCGGTCAGAGAACTTCTGGTCAAGCTCAAGCTGTGCTGTGAGTCTGGATATTTACTCGAGCTGTATTGTATTTATACATGGGGATACAGGTTATACAGGTGTAGGTAGATATATTTCTGGCTGAGAAATTTATTTCATCTCTACTCTAGATATGTATCCTAGGAATTGCATTGATAGTGCACACAGCATAGTTCTTAAACTCATTCCGTCAGATATATAACCTGCTAACGCTATCAGCAATAGAAAAGTCTATTCTTCTTTGTTTTCTTTAAAATTTAATAAATCTTTGAAACCACAACCATTTGATTAATAATAGTAATAACACTATTATTACTAACTCTAATAATGACTAATTAGCTGCTGCACAGCAACAATATACCGGATACAACAGTAATGTATTCATTAATTGAACCCCGGCAGGTTGCACAGAGATAGTATACTATGCCTGCATGATAGGCCAGAAACCACCTCAGCAACATAAAGCAAATATTGAATACGTCGAGTGACAGGAGTGCATGAATTATTCCAGCTTTCTCGGTCTTCTTCTAGAGTTCGTGAAGATATAATAATCTAATATACTAATATTGTGATTACTGATCTGAATATTCATCCACATCTGATTTTTTTTTGATTACCTATCTTGGGACCAGGTGGAGACAGCAATATATATTTAATAACAGCCGTGACGTGCTCCAAGAACAAAGAATTGGAATTGAGGTTACTGCTGCTTAATCAATCAATCAGATATATACTATACAGTAAACTATATTAATATAGCTAGCTACCTGCCATGCTCGTCCTCATCACCGGCGCCACCGGCCACGTCGGCTTCCGCGTGCTCGTCTCCGCCCTCAACGCCGGATACCGCGTCCGGGCCGCCGTGCGCAACCAGGCCAAAGCAGACGCCATCCTGGCGGCGCCTTCCATCCAAGCCATCGCGCCGGGGGGCGGCGACCGGCTGACCTTCGTCTTCGTCCCCGATCTCCTCGCCCCGGGCGCCTATGACGACGCCGTCCGCGATGTCGACTATGTCATCCACGTTGCGTCCCCGCTGGCGCGCGGTATTGAGCCTGACCGCTACGAGGAGGATCTCATCCTGCCTGCTGTCCAGGGCACGGTGGGTATCCTCTCTGCTGCTGCTGGCCGCAACGGAAACCGCGTCAAGCGCGTGGTCATCACGTCTTCCATCGCTGCTCTCGGGCTGGTAGCAGACACCTCCTCCTCAGACAGAGTGTTTGACGAGACGTCCAGAGCCGGTACCGACCCGGTCATCGGCCCGCACAACACCGCTATGGAGGCGTACGCAGCGTCCAAGATCCGCGCGCTGGCCGCGACAGAGCAGTTCGTGCAGGACCACGGGCCAAAACTAACCTTTGACGTCGTCAACATCCATCCGTCCTTCGTGATCGGGAAGAACGAGCTTGTCACGGATCCAAAAGACATCCTCAGGGGGTCAAACGTGTGGGCCTTTGCCCAGGTTCTCGGCCAGTCGCTCCCTGCGCCGGTGATCGGACACACGGTGCATCTCGACGACGTGGCGGAGATCCACGTCCGCGCACTGATGCTCGATCTCCAGGGCAAGAAGGTGCAGAGTCTGGTGGCCACGTCGGGCGGGGTCGATGGCACGGAGCTCAGCGACGCTATTGCCATCGTCAACAGACATTTCCTGGAGGAGGTGAAGAGTGGCGTGCTGCCCAATAACGGGACTGTGCAGACGCTTCGAAGGAAGATTGATGCGTCCATGACAGAGAAGCGGTTGGGGATGAAGTTCCGCTCGTATGAGGATCAGATCCTCAGCGTGACGGAGCATTATCTCGAACTGGTGGAAAGGTCGACCTAGAGGAGAATCAGTAGGGCTGTCTGTATATATTCGATTCTTTCGAATTGCAATGTGACTAGCATAACAGTGATTAGCTTAATGATTCCTCTGCCTGCAGCATGCGCAAGTCATCAAACGTCAATTCTCAATGTAAACCGTGCACCTAAACTACACTCAAGAAAAGGAACCCATCCTAAGTCCTGCCAGAAGGCAACCATATCCAGCATGCAATGAACACAAGCTTCTTGGAATTTCAGTCAATTGAAGACGCATCTATAGAATTGGAACGTTGCGTAAAAAAGGATCTGGAAAATTTCATAGCCGGTATCATAACTCAGACAACGCGCTTAACCTGTTCAACGAACGACGGGTGAGTTACCGCCAGAAGAGAGTTATATAAGAACTTCACTCACCTCAAAGAATCTCTTCAGCCACCAGACCTGGAAGATACCCTCGGCAATAAGCACCGCCAGCTGGAAGATACTCCACCACTTCACTCGCGAGTTGGTGCTCTCGGCGGTGTTTCGGTGCACTCTTTCTCTAACCACGATATAAGACTGTTCGTCCTTGACCTGTGCCAAGGCCTCAGAGAGACGGCGGACTAGCAACACTAGCCATCAGTAATCCGTTGGCTTGCTAGCAAACCTTGTCAAGCGACATACCTTCCACTTCCAAAGGATCCTGCGGCATCTCGGATTCCGGCACGTAGACAATTCCGTGGACGTTGAACGAAACCTCCTTCGAGTTGGATGCCCACCCCTCGTTGCTGAAGCAGTAGACGTATTTGCCGTCGCGGCTGGCCGTGAACGAGTAGTCTTCGGAGGAAACCGCCTGTCTGTAATATTGCCGGTTGCCAGCGGGATCTTCGACCTGTAGAAATTCCAGGTCAGCACGTTTTCATCGAGGCAGCTTCCGCTGCGAAGAGACATACCCAAAAGTCGATCTCCAGATTGCCGCTGCCGCCAAACTCCCGGTCACCGACCTGGAAGGTGACCGTCATCTTGTCGTCCCGGTGCAATGTCTCGTGGAAGCATTCTCGCGAGTGGGCGCGGAGCTGGATGTTGTGGGCGGCGGCGGCCCCTATCCAGCTCAGCATAGTCACCAGGATGGCAGACGTTGAGAAACGCATTTTGACGGCAGCCCCGGGTAAAATACTCCACCAAGAGAATAAAAAATTGGCGCGATGCGGAGGGAGGGAGGAGGGACTGTTTTGCGGAGGAGACAAGACTCCAGCAGGCTTGTCGGAGCCAACTTGGAAGGTGTCAATAATTCAATGGGCGGAGACGCTCGGACCACATCCTATGATTCCTAACTGGGAAGTACTATAACGACAGCTGCAGAATATCAAGACAAGATGCTGATTCATGGTGTAGAATAATTTCTAGCATCATAGACATCATAGCCATTTAAATTGGAAAGACATGTCCTTTTTTTTGTGTTTCATCTTTGTCCTTTGCTGCAGTATTGTGACAGTGTCATTCACTTCTGTCAATACAATCCTCATTGTTTTGTTGATAGCGTGTGATGGTAGGAAATGCTCAATCGCACCAAATATCTATAATAATGCAGACTATATTTTATTCAGATTTAGCATACCTACGTGAGCCTACGTAGAGAATGTCATGTGCCTGAGTGAGGCAAAACCAGCGGTTCTCAATCGGGAGCCGCCTGTGGTCGTCTACTCTCAAGTAAACAACATCCAGACTCCCAGTGATTCTTTCACCTGCACACTCTCAACACACTTCCATCAAGATAACCACTCCATATCCACATCCACAAGTTTAACACAATCGTCAGAATCATCACCTGTTCCTGACACCCTGCCAACATGCCCAAGATCAAGACGGACAACGGAAACGTCGTAAAGGTGTCCCTGTTAGACGTCCTCAAAAGTGACAAGACTCTGGAACTTGAGGCTGCTTTACGGGTAAGACCTACTCGTCCAAACACATTCAGCTGCGTTTGATCTTCGTAGACGCTCCCTTGGATACTGACTTATCAACTTGGCAGCGAGCAAAGGCCGCGAAAAAGACCGCGCAGGGAAACGAAACGGAAGAACCAGTAGCATCTTCAGCCGAAAGAGCTGCGATCGAAAAGACAGCTATTCAAAAATACCTGGCAGAAAGGGCCGCTGCGAAGAAAAAAGCCAAGGAAAAGGAAGCCAGAGAGAGGGTTGCCGCGGCCGAAAGAGAAGCGATTGAAAGAGCCGCCATCGAGAAATATCTTGCAGAAAAAGAAGCTGAGGAGAAAGCTGCCAAGGAGAAGGAAGAAGCAGAAAAGGCTGCTGCCGCCGCCGTCATCGAAAGATACCTAGCGGAGAAGGCGGCCGAGGAAATCGCAGCCGCAGAGCGAGCTGAGGCTATCCGGGCAGCTGCTGAAAAAGTGGCTGCTGAGAAGCTCAGGGCGGAAAAGATTCTCACAGAGAGGACTGAGTCTGACGTTATTACTGGACCTAGTACAGCCTCCACTACGTCTTCTGCGAAAGGTACCGATCCTAGCAAAGTACGATCATCTTCAGAAGTCGAAACTAACTTGGAGCAGCACCGGCGTCGTACGTCTGGACTCCCGCACAGGATAAACGACTCCGAGAGCTCAAGCTTGCGGACAACACATGGAGGGCGATATCGTCCGAACTGGAAGGCAGACCCATCAATGAGCTCAAGCGACGCTGGGCAAAGATCAAAAAGACGGCAGACAGTTCAGACGAAGAGAGCAGGAAGAGCAAGGGATCCGAGAAGACGAAGTGGAAGGGCAAAGGAAAACAGAAGATGAACAGCAAAGGCAAGTGCAGGCGAACGGACAGTGACAGCAGCGATTCTGCAAGCGATGGGGAAGAGCAGGGTAGCCGATCAGACCGGTCAAAGCAGAAACACCGCGTCTCGTTTGCAGAACCATTACCCACGTCAGACAAAGTAAGAAACAAGTTTCCCTACTCTGGATCCTAAGCCTTGACAGTCACTATCTCTGTAGTTCCTCCTGACTAACGCACAGTTCTAACAGAACGACGCCCCCGTCAAAGAGGTCCGCAAATACTTCTACATGGACGACAAATTCACGCTCGAAGAAATCATCCTATTGCACAAACTGGCCGACCACTACGAGAACGAGAAATGGCTGCGCGTGAGCTCTCGCTTTTTCGACAAGACCGGGAGACGGATCAGTCCGGATGATGCCAAACTGAGGGTGAAAAAGGATATGCGAGAGGATTGATTGAAGTATGACCCTGTCGATTGGAATCTGATGTCGGCAGGAGTACTCCGTACTCCGTAGGGATGTGGGTACTTTTTGTCTTAAACACACCGACTGCATACTGTGGAAGTTGCATACGGAGTACAGAGACTGGAAGACTGATTCGGTCCATACCTCTCGCTATTAATATTTATTCTCTTGTGAAGTTCTGATGGCGTATGTGATGATAAAAATAGCTTTGTTTAGGGGATGATCTCCCGAATAATAATAATGCTTATTCATAGACGAATGAATAATGTGTCTCCTGAACCTCGGGTCATGCGGCTCCACCTAGCCAGACTGGAAAGACAGAACAGTCGAGAACATCAGTAGATACGAGAACTGCGGAAAACAACAGGGACAGAATCATAGAATTGTGATGTTGAAATTAACGGTCACTCTTTACTCCGTCTGCAGTCCTCTATAGTAAGTCCTTCGTAGTCTTCTAGCCTGAGCCACCTAATAATAGTGGCGCCACAGCTGCTGTCGACTAGCCCGAAGCGACTCGCAAACGGGCGATCATCGGGGCATTCATCCTGTCGACTGTCAGTCTGTCCCTGAACTGGGGCCATCCGGTGATCCGCCAGTGACCGTTGCTGCTCAGCCTCACCCTCACCGCTGCACGGCCAGAGAGTAACTTAACTAAGTGTTTCGGTGTTTCTGGACTCTCCTGGAACGTTACGCCACAGGTGCAGGCAAGGCTCCGGCGCGCTGGTCTGGGCTACCGTCTCCCGTCTACGGCGGCGCACAGCGTCCCCCTGGGCAGTGTCTCCACGCTGCCTTCACTCAACTCCACACTCCTTTCTCCTCCATCGACGTCGGGTCGGGCCTTTGTTATCCAAATCCACCAGCCAGCGTCGTCTGGACCTTCGTTCTTTTTCCTCCTATTTCTGTCATTCATTATAAAAGGGCCATCCTTAGCCACTCTTTTCATTGGTTCCGTCTTGCGCTTATTTATTCTTCCTCCTTGACACTCTTTCAGTACAGCGTTCAACGGCCATTGTCGATCGAGTCATCACTTTGATCGTATATAATCCCTCACAATGCGTCTCAGCACTCTGCTGCCTCTGGCCCTGGGCCTGGCGCCAGCGGCCGTGTCCGCTGCCGGCACGCTGGGCTTCGCGCTGGGAGACAAGAATCCGGATGGATCGTGCAAGGCTCAGTCCGACTACGAGGCCGACTTTGACAAGCTGAGTCCACTCAGCAAGCTGGTCCGCATCTACTCGGCCAGCGACTGTAATTCTGCGAAGAACATTGTTCCTGCTGCCAAGGCTAAGGGGTTCAAGGTGGTTCTGGCCGTGTGGTACGTGCAATTCCACTTCTTGATTTCAGGAAGAATAGAATATTAATACTGACGCGAATCGACTCCCTGCAGGCCTGACACTGAGGAATCCTTCAACAGTGACACCGCCGCTCTGAAGAGCGTTGTGCCCGGAAACGAGGATGTCGTCGAGGCCATCACCGTCGGCTCCGAGACCCTCTACCGCGGCAACTTCACGGGCGAGCAGCTCCTCGAGAAGATCAACCAGGTCAAGCAGATGTTCCCGAACGTGGTTGTCGGTACGGCCGACAGCTGGAACAAGTACGCTGACGGCACTGCGGATCCTCTGATCACTGGCGGCGTCACCTACCTGTACGTTTTACCCTGACGTCCCTTCACTGGACGTGTTACTGATCGTTTGCTGTGCTGCAGTCTCGGAAACGCTTTCGCCTACTGGCAGGGCGCGCCGATCACCAATGCCTCCCGCGTCTACTTCGACGACATTTCGCAGGCGATTGAGCACGTGCAGAAGATTGCCGGCGCCAATGCGAAGAACATCCGCTTCGCCACCGGTGAGACTGGTTGGCCAACTGGTATGACCCTCAATCTTCAAAAAAAAAACGTACTCTAACCCATGTTGTCTGTACAGACGGTGGCAGCAACTACGGCCCTGCGGTCGCCAGCACCCAGAACGCCGAGACCTTCTACAAGCAGGGCGTGTGCGGCATGCTCAAGTGGGGCATGGACGTCTTCTACTTCGAGGCCTTTGACGAGCCGTGGAAGCCCAAGAGCGTTGGCGACGACGGCCAGGCGGAGGACGAGACGCACTGGGGCATGTTCACGGCGGACCGCAAGGACAAGTTCGACACGACGTGCTAAACCCACGTCCTTGGCCGGGAGTATAGTATCGAGGCTATATGAACGGGGGGCTAGCAACTGGTCTACACCATCAGTTGTGTGCTCCGTCGTTCGTATTGCCAGGCAGGCATTGCTTTCTTTTTGTTTTGCCACATATCAGCAATTTGTGTTGATCTATGTTGATCTTTTTGTAATTACGCGAGTGCTGCCTGCCATGTTCTATATATATGCTTGAATTTATTGCAAATAGAATCGAGTCGTTATTATTCTCCTCCTCCAGTATATTCTGCCATATATAATTCTGTTAATCGGAAAACGAGGCGGAAAGGCTCTGTGGGGAAGCGGCCAGCTGGCCAATGGCAGCGCTGCTTGGCCTGCAACTCTCCCACGGACGCGAGCAGCAGACAAGGAACCGTGGATCAGAGTCGCTTTGCACGTCCATCCCAGGCCTCTTTACGGAGTATAGTAAGTATTTACCCCTGACTCGATATCCGCTGGCCGACGCCGCCCAGAAGGGAAACGCGTCAACACCCCAGTGGCTCTCCTCCATCGCAGGCTGCCCCTCTGGATCGCAGCCTGCGATGGCAGCAGCAGTGTAGGCGTGCTCCGTAGGCGGTCCCTCGCCCTGTATGCAATTAACACGTCGCCCTCCACAGTGACCACACCGACAGAAGACCGACAGACACCTGCTGCCGGCCTTGGGCACGGTCTGCGCGCCTCCAGCTCTCTCTGCCCGTGGCCGCGGCGCTAAGGGCGACTAACCACCAGCAGCCCGGCCAACCAGCTGCTCAACGCTCCCTGAGCCCGTTCTCCGTCACTTTTTTTCGGGCCCGTGACGTGCCCTCGTCTCTTCTCCCTCCCTCGACTTCGACGTCCATCTCTGCTCGCCGATCTTCTCCCCCTCCCCCCATCCTCTGCCCTCCCGCTGAGTTCAGATCCGGCTGTCCTCTGCGTGTGCGCCATGGTCCAAGCTCCTGCTTCCCCAAGATTTCTGTGATCGTGTGTGCTGCTACACGCTGTGCCCCCCTTTTGCTTCCCTCTCTCGAGTCTAGCTTGCTTCGCGCGTCTGCTTCGTTCCAGCCCCGGCAAGTGGCGTCCGTCGCGTCAGCCTGGGGTATCTGGGGTTTTCTGTGTCCGTTTCTGGATATCACGATCCCCCATCGTATCGTGGGCTGCTCCCTGCACGACAGCCAGCAACGCTCCATCTATCTAGCACGGCCTGCCCGACCCCGTGATCCGGCTTCCATGCTCCAAAATTCCGGGCGATAACGAGCGCGGCAAGCAGGTGCTTGCTGCAGCAGACGACACGGAAGGTGTGTTGCACGTCCTCGAGATCGATTCGATAAGATAATACGATCCTGGTACCTTGGGGACATGGACAAAGACTAACGGCATTGTTGTCTTCCAGGTCCATCTCTATCCGTATCCCCCGCCAGCCCGGCTTCCCATCGCCCCGTCGAGCTTCCTAAACTGCGAGACGACTCCTCTCTCCAGGCCGTGCCGGTCATCACGCGGGCCACAACTCCGGCGTCTTCGAGCGTTTTGGCCGTTGGGTCGCCCGGCCTGCGGCCGTCGCGCGCATCTTCTCCCCAGCAAGCTGCGCTTCCCGAGCTTCCCAAATACCCCGGGGCTTGGGACTCGCTGTCGTCTTCTCCCGAGTATCGCAAGGCAGAGAGCAACGCCAGCGCCTACTTCACGGCCGTCTGGGGATCCCCCTATGCAACCCCGAGCCCACGGCGACCCTCGTGGACTCTAAGCCAGCAAACCAGTGCCGGCCCTGCATCGCCAGAGACTTCTCCTACTTCTCTGCGAAGGGGTCGTAACCGGGTATCGGGACCGAGACAGTCCGATTCGCTGCGAACAGCGTCCGCCTCCAGTCAGCTGCAACGTCGTGTCTTTAGCTCTCTGGGTCGATCCTCGGGACGAGATTTACTCGGTCGACAAGGAGGACGATCAATCAGGGAATTCACTGAAGATTGGATCATCCAGTACCTGTCCGGCCAGCCCAGGACCGAACGCACCAATTGGCTGAGCGACGACTCGAGCAGCGAGGCGCCATCCTTCATCACCGCCCGTAATCACTTCGCAGACGACCCCTCGGACGGTTGGCTCGGCCTTGACGACGAGCCGCACGACGAGGATCTCCTGAAGACGCCCACGCTAGCCAGTTTCCTCGCTCAGCAGAGAAAAAGGGCGGTCGACAGCGAGAGCGACAAGCCCTCTCGTTCTCGCCACACGCACACCTCGACCCAAAGTACAGACACGCTCAGACAGGAGGATTTCTGGGGCTTCGCTTACGGCAACGAACGGCGCTCACCCAGTATGTCGGATCCGAAGGATAAGGATGTGCCACCGACTCCAGCGGAGGGTGAGTCGAACCCACCGGTTTCAACCACAGGCCTTTCGAACCCAGGCGTTCCGACCACAGGCGTTTCGCCCATTGACAAGCCTTTGCCGCCTCCCCCGCCGACGGAGAATGGGCCTGAACCAACCGCTCCTCAGGAGTCTGCGACACCAGCAAGCCCAAAGTCCGCCAAGCGCGCAGCCGTGGTCACGAATGGCACTGCTCAACGCACCAAGAAGCGCATCATCTGGCGCGGCAAGGCATGCATCATCTCGGTGCCAGTTGAAGACAAACGAGGGTCAGAGGAGGCTGGATATCGTCTTCTGACTCAAGCCGACATCGAGCAGCGTCTACAGAAATGGATTGATGAGGGATACGATATCCGCGGGTTCGACGTCTACGCCCCCGAGGAGGATGCGGTTCCGGCCGACAGTGGTGCCCTGAGTCGACTTCCCTATCCCGATCCCGCCGAGTGTCAACAGGAATGGAAGGAGCGGAAGTACGCGATCAGTTTCCCCAACCAGGCAGAGTGGGACGCCTACGTCAACTTCCTCAAGGAGGAGAAACTGCGAGCGTTAGGAGTGTCAATGGGAGATGATGATCCGCCGTCGACCATGTCCCCGGGTCCCATGGCCGCGCTGAATGCTGCTGCCCTGGCTGGATACCCGGGGCTCATCGCCTCTCCGCCGGTTCCTACGTCGTCGGCTGCGAGCAATCCTCTTCTCGGGGTCCATCCGTTCTCTCCCCACTTCAACCAGTCGACCAACCCGAGTACCAATGCGGGTTCCCTGGCCTCGCCGGCTCCGCAGTTTGGCGGTCAACATCCATTCTTTGGTGTCGATTCCAATATGGTTGCAGGGCTGTCCTACCCATTCCAGCCCACGCCCCCCGTCGCAGGAACTTTGACTCCTCAAAGTCTGTTCAACGCTCGTCAGGCAGGTGTCGTCTCGGCAGGCCCAGGCAATCTGCCAAACTTGAACTCCCTTCTCTCGCCCGTCTCGCCGCTGAACCAAGAGGACTCGAACACGTTCCACCAAGGCGTCAACGACATGCTGGCTCCTCGCAGGGATTCGGTTCGTGGCCAAGACTCCAGCCAGCAGAATCGGAAGTCGAGAGCAACGACAATGGTTTCTGAGGCTCAAGCGGAACCAGAACATTACCAGACGTCCAACGTCGAAATTGCACAGCCGACGCCCCGTGGACACAGTCACAACCTCAGCGAAACCCTTCAGAAAGGCCTGGATCGGTATTCGCAAGCAGATTACCATCTGGAGGAGTCGATACAGAGGCAGTTGGAAGAGAATGATCGGGAGCCGACTTCGAGCTTGATGAAGTCTCGGTGGGCCGTACCGGAAAACGAAGTCCAATCTTCTCAATTTCCGAAGAAGGACTCGTTCTCTCAGGGACACCATCGTCTCTTTGGCGAACAGCGACAGGCCCAGGCTGATCAGGATGGTGATGAAATTGATACCAACCCCAGCCTTGAGGGCACACCCCGTGATCAGGAGCAGGATTTGAGCCACCATCCCTGGCACAGCGCCAAACCGAGCACAGGTTCGTTTGTTGGCGGCCACCACAAGTCACGGACGTCAATGTCGACACTCAATGTGGAGGCGAAGGAATTCGATCCCACCACTTCGCTCTCTTCGAACACCTTCACCTTCCATGGCAGCTCATTCCAACCGGGTAGCTTCGATAGTCCCTCCACGATATTCTCCCCATCTTCTACAGTGTTTAAACCTGGTGGCTTCAATGCGACTGCTCCTGCGTTCACTCCTTTCGGCAGTCAGGCAACATCGTTCTCCCCAAGCGGTTTCACGTTCTCCACTTCTTCGTTCAATGTCGATGCTCCTGAGTTCAATCCGGGCCAGAGTGTCACCACGAACGGCAAATCGGATGCCCCAGACCATCTGAAAAGCCGCATCTTTGGAGATATCGACTTCTCCCAGATCACCAAGCCTAGCAAGAAGTCGAAGGCTATACCTATTGTGCGACCCGATGACGCCGAGCGAGAGCGTAACAAGCAGAAGGACGAGGAAGTGGATAACAGCGCGTCAGGACCTCAGCCACGTCAGAAGCGCGCTCGCCATGGTGCAGAGGACGGCGACAAGGATGCTGAGATTGCGCCTTCCGCTCTGCCGCTGGGAGAGGCCGCTCAACCCCAGGCATCAGCAGCACCTTCCCAGTCGCATAAACAGGCTGACGGAAAGGAGAATGCAGCTCCTGACGACAGTGCTGCTGCAGACGCTTCCGCTGACGTGAAGCCTGCAGTTGCCGACATCAAGCCTGCTCCGCCGAAAGAGGTGGCTGCTACCGAGAAGACCGTTTCCGAATCTGTCGAGGTCAAGAAGGTCGAGAAGGTTGACAAGGTGGAGCAGATAGAGCAGCCAGTGGCTGCTGCTGTCAGCGAAGCAGGTTCCAAGGAGCAGCCTAGTCCACAAGACACGGCTGGTAAAGAAGATGTTTCTAAGGAAGAACCCGAGGACCAAGTTCAGCAAGCGAAGGATGAACCTGCGGCTCCTGCTCCTGCTCCTTCTCCTGCCCCTGCTCCTGAACCTGAACCTGCCGCTGAGCCTGCCCCTGAACCTCCCAAGACCGAGCCAAAGAAGACAAAGGGATTCTCGTTCAGGCCCTCCATCGCGGAATTCGTTCCTGCTGCCTTCTCGGCATTCAGGAAGAAAGAGCAGCCAGCGAAGCCAAAAGAAGAGCCGGAGAAACCGAAAGAGGAGCCACAGAAGCCGAAGGAAGAGCCAGAGAAGCCCAAACCGACTGGCCTTATGGCTTCCCGCTATGCCGTTCCCAGCCCTCCTGTCGAGACCAACCATGTCGAGCCTTCTGAGCTGGCCCAGGTGCCTGAGGAACCAGCGCCAAAGGCCGACTCTGCTCCTACGCAAGATACTGCCCGCCGTCAGGTGGATCCAGACTCTCCTGATGAGCAGGAACTCAATGCCGTCATGGAGCAACTCAACGGTGATGATCCAGACATCGGTGTAGAGAGAGTCAGCACACCTGTTCGGCCTCAAGAACCGGTAGAGACCCCTGGAGCCCCGTCAACCGGTGCACCGATTCCTCCACAGCTCCGGAGTGATGCTCCAAGCCCAAGTCCCAGACGCGGGCTGCAAGAACTCCTACACACTGTGCCGAAATTGGGCACTGAGTTTGACGTCCAGTCCCAAGTGGCAGTGTCTCAGCGGGGACTTGCCTCCGGTGCCCAGTCGCCTGTTCGTCAATTGATCAGTAACGATAACCACATCAGTGACTGGGACGATGTCATCGAATCCGGAGAAGACGAGAAACTGGTCCAACGAAGCAAGTTCTTCGACCGCCATATCAACGAACTCGTTGGCAATGTTTTGGAGGAACGCTTGGGTCCTCTGGAAGAAACGTTGAACGTCATTCAGCATTCCGTTGCGTCGTTGAGTTCTCGATCTGCAAGCAGACGGCCACTGCGGAGTGCCTCAGCCGAGGTCGAGGAGAGCGATGCGGATGCGGATGATGAAGACGACGAGGAGGTCCGTAGGCCAATATCGCCTTTCAGCAAGAAAGATCGGAAGCTGGAGAAGCTGAAGAACGCCGTTGTCGAGGCCCTTGTCGCCCACCAGAAGGAGTCTCAACCACCTGCGCCTGCTATCGACTTGGCACCGATCCAAGAAAGCATCGCTGAGTTGAAGGCTCTCACGAAACCGTCACCCGACCAAGACTCCGGTATCAAGAATCTCATTCAAGAGACCATTGCAACGCAACTTAAAAACACTATGTTGCGGCGGCTTACGGATGCTGAGGAGATTGGCGCCGAAAGTCTGAAACTGCAGGTCGACGGTCTGAAGAGCATGCTCCGGATCGCCGACGAGCGGGCAGAGGCGGAATACAAAGCACGTCGGGACGCTCAGGATGCCTTGGCTGAAGCTCAGAAGCTGTTGAAGATAGCTGAGGAGGATGCTGCTCGCCACCGTCAAGCAGCTCAAGATGCAGAGGAGAGCCTTCGCCAGTTGCGGGAGGAGAAGATTCCTCACTTTGAAAAGATTCAGAACCGATCCGATGCTCTTGAGAAGCAGCAGAAGGCCCTCGAGCTTACGCTGTCTGAGCTTTCTCAGAAGAACATCGCGTTGGAGGGTACTTTGGACGAGTACCGAGAATCCCAGGAGAACTGGAAACGGCAGGTTGCAGAGGTCCAGAACGAGAACAGGGAGCTGCGGGCCAATGTCAATCATCTGAAGACCCGGATTGAGGACAGCATGCGCGCCCGACAGAGTCTTCGCGGGAAGTTCGATCGCCTTCAGGATGACATGGTCAGCGCCACGCGCGACATTGCTCGCGAACAAGCCGCTTGGCGCAAGAAGGAGGAAGAGATGAACGCCAAATACGATGCCCTTCGTGCAGCCTATGACCGGGAAGTCAAGCTGCGCGAGAAGCTGGAGATGGACATCGCCGAGCTTGAGCAACAGGAGCGCGAGGCGGCGAAGCTGAAGTTCATCTTCGGTCAATCCCAGCAAGAAAATGCCCGGCTCGAAGAGCTGGTTGCCACCCTGAGGCAGGAGAGCCACGAGTACCAGAGCAAGGCAGCCCGTTTCGAGCGTGAGTTTAACGAGGCGCGCGAGAGCAGCCGGATCGAGGTCCAGCGAACCAGGACGGCGATGGAGGCGGATGTTGAAGCCGCCAACAACCAAGTCAACTACGTCCGGGCCGAGTTGGAAGCCCAGATTTCCCGCCTGGAAAGCCAGCTGGAGAACGTTCGATTGGAGGCTGACACGATGAAGGAACGATACGAACTGCTCTTGGAGGAAGCTCGGGACGCCAAGGCCAATGCGGTGGCTGAGCTCACTGCCGCGAAGGACAATGCCCTTGAGGAGCAGCGCAAGAGGCATGAGAGTGTCCTCAACGATCTCCGGGAGCGACACGCCCGTGCCCTGCACAATGCCTCTGAAGACCGGCAGCGGACCGAATCTTATTTGACGGACAAGCTGAATCTCGCGAACGAGAAGATCGAACATCTTCAAGATAAGGTCACACACTTGGAGGAGAAGCTTGAGATCGCCAAATCTGCTGCCCGCGCCGCTGCACAGGCGGCCCAGGCCAAGGGGGCGGCTGCTGCTGCTGCTGCTGCTGCTGCTTCGTCAGCGCCAATGGACCATCACACGACTTCGCCGTCCATGTCCTTCCGGAAGGACTCTTTGGTACCCGAGAAAATCTCTCCTCAGGCGCTGCGGGAATCCATCCTCGTCCTCCAAGACCAACTGCAGCAACGTGAGACTCGGATCGAAGAACTCGAGCAGCAGCTGTCGGAGGTGGACCACGACGCACCGAACAAGCTCAAGGAGAAGGACACGGAGATCAACTGGCTTCGGGAGTTGCTCGAGGTGCGCGTGGGCGACCTGCAGGACCTCATCGACACTCTGTCGAAGCCGTCGTTCGACCAGCAGGCAGTCCGTGACGCGGCGATTCGGTTGAAGGCCAACCTGCAGATGGAGCAGCAGGAGAAAGAACGGGCGATGGCTGGTGGAAGGACCTTCCCGTCGCTGGCCAGTCTGGCCGCATCACCTCGCTCACTGCCGCTTGCAGCTGCCGCGGCCTGGGGAAGCTGGCGCAAAGGGCGAGAGTCGTTCACGTCCGAGGTCAGTCCGTCCGGGTATCAGCAGACGCCGTCCAAGTCGACCAACGGGGGTGGGTTCCTGTCGGGGCTTCTGACACCACCGAGCTCGAATGTGCGGCAGACGCCCAAGAATGGGAGTGCGCCGGTGAGCAGGATGGGAGCGCGACGGACAACAGCGGACAGTCGGGGATTAGGTCAAACTCGGCCGCGACAGGCGGAGAAGTTGCCTGCGCATGAGGAACCACCGGAACCGCCGACGACGCCGCCACTTCTGCGACGGTCGAGCTACGACCACGACGCGGAGCCCAACAGCTATGACAATAGCATGTTGATGGAGGATGGCGACAGCGTGGTTGGCGAGTCGCCGAAGGGGACTAGAGAAGGTCTTGTCGCGGTGCAAAATTGATGACATATACATTCTCTAATTTTATTTTTCACTCAGAATGACCCTACTTTACTATACTTGACGAATGTTGAAACAGATTGCCTGGAGAAAAATTTGTTTCGTTCTGCCTTTATCTGCCTTTATTGTGTGATGAGTTGAGTTTTTCGATCTGCAATATCCCCCCTCTTTTGTGTATAGTTTCTCATAGCGGTTATGACGTGCACTTTTCGCCTTTTTTGTTTGTATTTTTTTGTCTTCTAAAATGCGGGCCTAAATCGGAATTCCGCTCTGCTTTTTTTTTCTTTTGATACCACCTTTGCCGTTTGACTGGACTTGACTATACTACCTACACTTCTTGTCGATAATTAATAACCTTCCCTCTTGTCACACTGTTGACTGCCGCTCCTTCCGGATATTTTTTTTTCTAGTCTTGTTGTTAGCTTGTGTGTATGTACACTACTGCAAGTTGTCATCATACCCCTGCAGTGTTGATAGAAATTGAGCAGTTGACTCGTCTGGAGATAGGATATATGCCTTCAGAGATTGGTGATTTGTCGAATACCGTAGACATTCGTAGTCCTCCCAAATGCTAGAAAATTTCTCTACACAGACAATTAAATCAATTCAACCCCGACAGACAATCAGAATAAATACCAACGTATCCATAATATAGATAATATAGATATATTACCACCCCAACAACCAAAAGCCACACCCACCCTCACCGCAAAACTAGGCCGATTTCAACCGCCAATCATCCCCTTTCTCGTCGTTCTTTTCTCTAGCCCACACTTCATGATAATACCCACCCCCCCCCCTCTCTGACCTCAATGGGGAATATCAAACCCAAACCCAAACCCAGCAGTCGCAGCGGCAGCAGCGGAGGATGAAGGGGACAAAATGATCTGATCCTGCATGGCCCAAATCACTTCGACTTGCTCCATCCCATCGTCCTCATCCTCATCATCATCATCATCATCATCATCCTCCTCCTCCTCTTCCTCCTCTCCATCAGGAGAATAACTAGTCAACCAACGCATCTCACAACAACCACCGAGGAGATGCACCGTCTGCGCCCTCGAAAACAGGATCTTCATATCAGACACAAACGCCTCGGGGGAAGCGTAACTGAAGCGGAACTTTCTGCCAGCGATTTGGATCGATCCGTCAACGTTGTGGAAGGTGAATGTTGCGGAGGGCCAGGCTAGGGAGGTGAGTTTGTCCCATTGTTTTGTGTCGAGGGAGTGACCGGCAGTATTGGGATTTTTTTGCACTAGAGGGTGAGGGTGAGGGCTGTTGGGGGGTTGATTGATTGTGTTGACATTGTTTCACGGAGTGGACTGGGTTGGAGTGGATTGGATAAGGACTGTAGAGAGGATTTTGTATTATATTATTTCAGGGTTTATGTGTATATATATATGCAATATAGTTGTAGTCTTGAAAATGCGGATATGATGAGACAGTCAATCAGTGCAAGTATATATATATGAGAAAAAAGGGGTTAATATCACTTCGATCACTTTTCTACATTCATTAATATTAATATTCATATTAAATAATCATCACCATACCATACCGAGGTATATAATAATAATTGTTCATAATACTTGAATAAACAGGTTTACACTGTCGGTTAGGTATTACGATAGGGTTACTCCGTAGGTGATGATGTAGCTAGCTGATTGCAGACGGAACAACGTTCCTCCATCGGAGGAGGATTGGATTCCGCCGACCGAGCGATCAATCAATATACTCCGTAGGGTACGTAATTGATGAAGCAAAAAAAAAAGGAGACAAACTTGATTCTTGCTTTTTTTTTTTGGAATCTGATCATTGGACGTATGTACTCATCTATGTAGCAGCAGCAGACTTGTAATTGTACAGTACATAAATGCAAACTAAATTCACTCACTGCTCCTGATGAGTGGAAGAAATCAATCGATCATCATCGGCCGAGGAGAGAAATTGACATTGAATTCATCAATTTCGACTCGTATCAGAGCATCCGACGCCTGGGGATGGTGTTCTCTTTTTTGGCGACGTCGCTTCCAGGGTCTGTATGTACAACCGATATATCCATTTCCTCCAGCGTTGCTTACACTACCATGAAAAAAAAAGACCAATCTTCTTAATTATTAAACTTTCTATCTTGACTGCATTGCAGTTTGTTTCACGCTCTTTCTTTTTTTTTCCTTTTCCCGGTTTCGATACGGGAAGTTTCGTTCGTGGGTGTCACGTTGTTCATTCAAGATTTGATTGAGGAGATATCCGTAGAGGTTTTGTCTATGGATTTAGAGGTCTTGATGTGCTTCCTAGAGTATTTATATTTAGTAAAGAATTCATTTTTTTAAGAAGGTTGATGTTGGTTATGGACTACTAAATCAGTATATACCTATGCTCCGCTATGATCAAAGCCGTTAAGTTAAAGGAAATATGACACAGGGTGTTCGACCACCGTGAACGATATCTACCTCTATGGTCGATAAAACGCAGTAATCTCCGTCAAATAAAAAAAAGGTTCCTCCAGTTTATTGCAGGTCCATAAGTCATCAGAATCTTCTAGTCACGGGTTTTGCATCATTTAATCCCCTCTGCCTCCTAGGTCCTCTCCATCTTTCTCCCTCTGTCACCCCCTCCAAGTCACCTTCTCTCACTTGCTCTCCCTTTCCATCATTTCATTATTTATGTTACTAGAGATATAGTGTCAAACTAGCAACAGTATTAATCTAAATACAACACGCGCTGGGTTATAACCCTACTTTACTCCCTTTTTTAGGGTAGACCAGAGTAGATAGCCTAGTAGTAGTAATCTAAGACTCTTCCTAGTAAAATACTTAAAAAGAAACAAAGTAGTTCTCTTATAAAAGTAGGGATTCCAAGCATATTAAGTTTGATCGTTAGGTCTAGAAAATCTTTTTTTTTCTCTATGGCAGATCTGTAACTATTCTGTCACTTTATCTTTTTTTAACACTGTATCTACATCCTAATCGAAAAGTTATCAGCATGTTGCTGCGCGCCGGAAATTGCAGTCTTTCTACACAATTGATCCTTAACGTTGATCCGTCCGCCGATTTTCGCAAGATCCGTCGAATGTATGTACAAGAGAGTCAGCCCAGATTAGTAGATCTCCATTGTTTGGCGTATGGATGGATCTCTCAATAATCGTTTCTCAGAAGAGGAAGTAATAATATTGCGAAAAAAAATGATCACTACTAGTGTATTCTTCTCGTAGACATCACAAGTGCCTGGAAAGACAAGACGACTCCAGCGCTTTCTTGAGTTCCTTATAGCTGACTATGAAGCAGCTCTGTTCGTCTCGGTTCACCAAGGTGTTATTTTTTTATTTGGGTCTGTTCCCGCGTCCAGCTTGTTCGGACAGTAAGCACGTGGCCAAAATTGAAGATCGGTTCGCCCTGCGCATCTACTTGATGGAAGACATAAAGAATCTCGAGAGAACTTCAAAACGTGCAGCGTTTGTCCGGGTGGATAGGATATGTTTTTAGGCGGATAGAAGTTGTCTGGTCCGATATCTGCTCTCTCCCCATATAACTATCTGCTCAGACATTGCTTCCTTTCATAGTTATACTCTCTCTGACGTACGTTTTTTTTGGTCTAAAGATTAGAGATGTAGTATATAAACGGCAGCAGGATGCTAGGGACTGCACGGCACTAAACGGTGTGAATTTCAACTACGAAGTACAGTACAAGCCTTCCAGGTCTCACTCCGCTCGACTGATTTGGAAAGAAAATACCTGGTTATGCCAAAGATTTGGCAATCTGCTTCTCATGCGGGCTCCTCACCTATATTCCTCGCTATACATTATTTCCCATATTTTAGTAGTCCTTGTCATCCACTCTCCAGCCGGGCTTACTAACTATATCCCTTGCTGTAATCTCTTTGTGCCATAACTCTAGCTATATCCCTTTCCTAATGTTTACAGAGGCACGTGACTGCGTCCAAAAATGGAAATTAAATGTTTTATACTACCCGTGCTCCCGCCCCAACATCGTCCCGTGTTGGTGCGTTGCACCGTAACGTCCATTTTGACCACAACGTCCAATTTTGAATATTTCATCAATTTTCTCAACATCTAGACTAGTATCTAAATACATTAAATAGCGCATTAATATCTCCTGGATCCTGGCTATCTCCCTGAGTATTTTCAACAGTATCCGACCGTTGTGTAGTGGTGGGAATTGGCTTTGAAGGTTGGCGTTTCCGGACACGGGAAATAATCTTCTTTCGTTCAGCTTCAGCACGTTCAGCAACCTGACGATTTGCATCTTTAACTGTCAATGGCCCTATAGTAGGGATTCTT